GATAATATTATGTTGGCAACAAAATATTTCGTATGTGTTAATATAATTTTTACATCTGAAATATTAACTTTATTTTTATATTAATATATATACGTAAAAAATAAAAAATTGACTGATTAATATTAATATTGTTTTAATCGATGTCTCAACGTACTAAAGTTATCCAGTTATACAAAACGGTATGAAATATTTCAATTTTATTTTAATTTATTAAGAAACTAAAATTATTGCTTTAAAGTAAAGTAATAATTATGTAACATATAACTCATAATCAAAAAATAGATATTATTTATTTATTCTTTTATGATAGTTACAAATCTTATTGTTAATGTTTTTAGCTGTTATATATGGGTCGCGACTATCCAAGAGGTTATGATTTTTTTAAAAAAAACCTAAGGAAAGTTTTTGAAAAAAATAAAGGGGAACATGATCCCGAAAAAATTGAAAAAATGTTAGCACATGGTAATTTTGTTGTCAAAGAACTGGAAACTTTATATATGTTACGCAAGTATAGAACATTAAAGAAAAGATATTATGAAAATCCATGATGTGAAAAACTAGTACATCAAATTCATTAATTCAAACCTTTCACGGGTTAAAGGTTTATTGTGTTTTAATTCTTTAAAAAACTATTTTTCAATTGATTTTGTAATTTCTATTCTAGAAAATTGAAAATAATTCGTATATCTTGTTCATAGACACGAAATCAATATTTTTATCAAATCTATAAATTTATTATTGTAAAGCGATCCAATGTATTATAATATATTTGTATAATTATTGATTTTATAAATAAATAAGTATTTGTACCATTACACTATGTATTAAAATGGTTTGGTCACCCTGTTATTATGGTTGTCAGAAATGACAGTATAACCTGTATGATGTGAAGTCTAAACATTATTTTAATTTACAGTAATTTTGTCGAAAAGTTAAAATTTTCATTCTTATCTATTAAATATTTTGTTACAAATTATAATGTTGTAAATTTATACAATTAATAAATATGGCAGTTTGTGTAGCTGTAATTGGAAAAGACGTAAGTACATATTTCTCCGTTTTTGAGGTTATAGACATCATAAAAATTGAGTAAAAGTAAAGTAACAATAAATAATAAATTATTGTCAGTATCATTAAATAATAAAATATATTAAACTTTCGCAGCATTAACAATATGTTCATAACTTATTTGCAGAATTCTCCAAAATATATTAGATGTGTAGATGAATCATCAGCACTGCAATTTCATTGTAAAGTACACACATCAATAGATATTATAGAAGAGAAATTAAATGTTGGAAATAAGACTGCTATTGATATACGCGACTTGTACTTGGGTTTATTGTATGCCACTGAAGAATATAAAATGTACATATAACATATCTTGTACCTTCAAATGAATGATATTCTTCAGATAATATTTAATTTTTCAATTTCAGATATGGTTATGCAACAAACACAAAAATCAAATTTATTATTGTATTACATTCATCAAACATATCTTTAAGAGATAATGATGTAAAAATGGTAACTCTTTCATAAATTATTCAACATTAAGGTTATATTTGATATGATAAAATTTATATTCTGTTACAGATGTTTAAGAAATTACATGCTGCTTATTCTAATACTGTATGTAATCCATTTTACATTCCAGGTGATCAACTTAATTCCAAGTAAGTTTAATCAATTAATAATATGATACTAATGTATAAATATAATTTTAATATTATAAAATGTTAAGTATATATTTTTCCAGGTCTTTTGATCTAGCTATAATGGAAATAATGGGTATTATGTCACCTTTCTAAGAAATTATAATTGAATTTAATAAATTGTTAATATATTTCAAACAGGTATCATTAAATTAAGTAAAATTAATTGCTAATATATTTATCTTTACAAATTAATGATAATTTGTTTCAGAGTTTATCAGTTTATTTAGTTAGTCTGTTTAAAAGAATTTAAAACAATATCTTTATTTTCATCATTTAAATATAGTATATAATATATTATATAATAGTATTAAATGTATTTTTAGAATTTACTTGTTATTCTTAGAACTAATTAAGCTCAGGGATAAATAATTTAATTTGGGGTAGCTGGAGTTATAAATATGTAGGGTATTTTAGGTCTTAATTTATGCATTATTGGTGATAGCTTTGTATTTCCTAATGAAAAAAATAAAATATTAATAACAAATTAATATTATTTTTGATAGTAAGGTATAATTTTAATATGTAGTTTTTTTATACTATCTTTTCTTCAATATTTAAAATCTAAATATTGAGTAAATAGTGGTTAATATTCTTTATGTACTTTTAAAAAATTTTTTAATTTATTGTACTATTAATTGCATTATTCGATTTATTGTATGCATTGTAGTTCACAGTACTTAATTCTACACTATCAATTTCTGGATTAGAAGAGAACCTGCTTGAGTCATTAAATTCTACACATTCTGAATTTGAAGGATTATCTTTATTTCCTATTAAATTAATATAACTGTGAGATTACATGGAATTGTTTTTATGTTTCATTTTTAAATTTGTATGTGAAAATGTATTTCAACTTTTTGTATTTAAATTATTGTACATTATATTTTCATTAGTTTCCTTAGAACTAAAATTCAATGAATCATTTCTTCGTAAATTGTTTGTTTTCTTTTAAATTTTTTTACTTAGTATTTAAATATCATTTGATATATTTGAGGATATAATAGTTTCATTATTATTTATATCACTGATAATACTCACCTAAACAATAATATAATGCTATTATTTACTAACAGGTACTTTCTCACTTTTTATTTATTATAATAACTTTATGTGTAAATTTTATGATTTATCAATGATTTAGAAAATACGTCACTTTGATATTTAAAAATACTTTATTAATTTTCATTTTTAAAACTGAAATTAAATTGCATTTTTGTTATGATTACGTTGAATGATTACTCTTATTACTCGCATTGTATTTTTTCTTTTCTTCCTAATTTACAAAAGGTATTCACGCACGACTAAATGTTGAATCCAAAGAATTTCTAGAAATATTCATTATAACTGTTCTTCCTTCTTTCCCAGCACAAAATACATTTCTTATTGATATTGAGGAAGGATTCAAACGAATGCTATATATACATATGTACACATGGTCAACTGACTTTTCAAGAGTGTTTGTTTAACAAACTTTAAAATTTATGTGACTTAATTAGTAGTTAATGAATACGTCATTAGACTCTATTATTATTAATTAAAGAAAATTTTATGTTAATCTAAAACAGAATTCAATTAAAATTACGTGTGTTAACTAAAAAGTTGAAAGTGTTTTAACTAATTTTGAATAATTCAATAATTGTGTTTCACAATTAAACTGACTGAAATAAAAATTTTTGATTCATTGAAAGAACAAGGCAAAAAAATATTATTCATATCAATACCAAGATTTAAAAATTAAATTTGTTAGATAAAACGCTAATATGATATGGGACCAATAAAAGAAACGAGTGATCTTTTCAACAATTTGTAGCGCAAGTGATATCATTTAATGCCAAGCAATCAAATAACATTCACATCAGATAATTGAAAGCATGGCAGAAAATTATTTTAACAACTACATTCGTTCGTGTCCTCGAAACTCGTGCTCACAGTAAACGCTGTAAAAAGTTTTTAGACATAAAATTTCTTTTTCCTTAACACAAATTATATTTCACGCAATGTAAAAATTCAATTACTTTATTTATAGCTCTATCTCCAAATTCATATAACTTTTCTAAATATCATTTTTAATAATAAAAGTCAGTTATAAATTTGTTCAATACTGCATCACAACGAGATCATATTCCGCTTTTTCTCAAAAAAGTTCGTTCATCTAAAAACTTTGCAAGCGATCCTATATATTTTCCTTCAAGCTTCGCAACACGCTTTTGTTTTACATTCATTATCAATAAGATAAACACGGAAAAGAACGATTGACTTAATCGAATTCGTGACCGTGATCTTCGAAACAATGTTCCTATTTCTTTTTATTCCTTCTTCTTCTTTTATAGCCCTGCTATCGCGTTTGTCCGGCTGCATTTGCTTTTTATTGTAATGATATCCTTTATTGTCGCTATTTTACAAAAACAAAGAAGCAACACTGATATATTGCTCGATTTATATAACCGATATATAATTTTGTTAGGAAACATGATGATTCCGTTTACTCTGTCGCGTTTTATAAAATCAATAATGCTCAACCCGCAAAGTCCGTATTGCTACGTGTGTAGCCACTAGAAAAATAGTTCTGTTTCAAGATGATCCAATAGATCCTTCGGCGTTCTTTGACTCTCGGGATGACAACGAAATAAAATCCAAGTATACCGTCTGAGAGGGAAGATTTCCAATTATTTTGAAGTCCTGATGACGTGCGCACGAAAACTTGAAAAAATTATCAACAAATTTTTTCGTAATAATAATAATAATAATGATGATAATGATAATGATAATAATAATAATAATAATGGTAATAGTAGTAGCAGTAGCAGTAATAATAATGATGATGATGATGATGATGATGATGAAGATGAAGGCGACGATGCTGATGATAATAACAACAATAATGATAATAAAAGTAAAAATAGTAATAATAATAGTAACCTGTAGTAGTAGTAGCAGTAAAAAAAGAAATAATAAAAACAATTATAACAATCGTGATAATAATTATGATGACGTTGACAATAATGATGATGATGATGATGACGATGATGATAGTAGTGATGACGCTGTTGTTGCTGATGATAGCATTAGTGATGATGATCATAATGGCGATGGATATAATTATGATTACGATGACAGTGATGTCGACGACGATGACGACGGTGATGGTGATGACGATGACGATGACGATGATGATGGCGATGATAACGATGGTTGTTTTTCGTACAAATGATACAAATGTTTTTCTAAACACTAATATACTAGTATTATATATATGTATGTATGTATGTGTACATGTGTCTATCTGTGTGTAGATTTATGTATATGTACATATATATATAACATTTCAATGACGGACAACAAAATTTACCAGTGAACTTTTACATAGGATAGCTGAAAATTCACGTAACGAAGGCAAAGAAAATTTGTACTCAGTGCAATCAATACAAATTTTCAATCACCATTCTTTCCGCTTTCCCTTTAAATATAATATATAACAATGTAACAGCATTTAGACGGCTCATCGAACCGAAGAAGTTGCATTCAGTGCATGTTGGGTGCAACCAATGTAAAAACGCAATTAGTTTATTACATTCGAGAAACAAAAATAACATAATAATAATAATAATAATAATAATAATAATAATAATTAATAATAATAACGAAACTATGTGTACCACAGTGAATTTGAAAAGCGCACGGTGAGATCGAGATAAATAGTGCACGTTTGAAGACGTGACATTTAAAAAAAGAAGAAAAAAAAAAAGAAAAAAAAAGGAAAGAGAATAATGTCCCTGTAAAGGAAGACAAATCAATAATAACTCGATCGATGAAAATTAGAAAAATAGAGAGACGACATGCCAATATACAACGAAAGATGTATAAATAAATATGTAAACACGTGTATGTATGTATACTTAGAAATTAAAGAGAACAAATGGGGAAAAAGAACATCGTACAGAAAAGAAAGAAAGAAAAACTGTCTAACGTTGAAATAAAGATGGAAATAAAAATAAAAATAATAATAATAATAATAATAATAATCATCATAATCAGAAATGGCAACGTGCATCTTATTAGCATAAACGTAATTTCTTGTTGCATCTTATTCGCATCTTGTCGCATCACCATTTGCACCTTTTTTCACTTTTCTATTCTGCGTCTCCTCAATAACGCTTCCTATCTAAGAAAAATTCTATTTGTCGCATACATACATATATACATACATAAAAATTGGCAGAATACATAAATGGCTAGCAATAAAATGATCTCTTTATGATTCTTTATTAGTTTTGCAAGGGAAACAAACTCGAAAATAAATTTGTACTCATTTTTCCCGCTTTCTTCTTTTCCCTTTAAATCGACGAAACGGAGACGATTCTTCCTTTTAAAACTATACCAAGGAATGTTGCACATTTATGATTGCTTAAGATTGCTTAAGATTGCTTTGCTTCTCCTTCCTTTCTTTTTCCTTCCTGCCCTGTTTCTCTCTACGTTAAACGCCTAACCGCAACAGTCAGACGAGGAAACTATCTCCTGAATTTTTTTAACCAAACACGCATGATAGTGTTACGATAATACAATATAGGAACGTCAGTAGTGTACATTTCGAAATGTTCAGACAGCTTCTAACCCGAAGTGCCGCTACCTAAGGACAATTCAACTAATTTTCCAACGCGACTCGTATGCACGCGAAGATCAATTTTCCGATAACATTCTTCAACAAATCTCCACCGATCCGATAGTGTAGAATGCACCTATTCTAGCCATAACTGAACATTTCTCAATATCCTGTACACACGGTATCTTCTCGATACTTCATTTGACTATTTTCTCCAACGATATACTTTCATTTTCACCTTTGACACCCCTTCGATAATTACCGAATTCGTATTCCAAGTATACCAGAAAAATGTGAGTCTACGCGACGATCGTGTCGGATTAAAAGAAAAAATAGAAAAAAGGGGAAGAAAGCTGTGCGAGAAACAAGAAGAGTTATTGCAGAAGTAAAACAGACAGGCATAATAAGATCGACAATTATGAAAAAATGGACAACATGCAAGAGATATGAAAGATACGGTCAAAAACTATTGCTTCTTTTTCTTATCCCATGATTCTTTTTGTTAAATCTGAACGTGTATTTTCGTGTCCTCTCGGTGCACACCTGCTGAAACCTATATGCGTCTTTTTGATTTTTCTTAATTCTCATTTCTTTTTGCCTTTTTTGCTTGTTTTTTTTTTTTTCTTTTTCTTTTTTTCTTCTCTTTTATTCGATACATTGGGCCTCTGCGGTTGCGAGCGAACGCACCCCGCGTTACTAGCGCTTTAATCGTGTACAAATTAAACGCAGGAGACGATTGTTGGTTACTTTTCGCATTTCGAGTAGTTTTGTTTTTTTTTTTCTTTTTCTTTTTTTCCATACAACATATATGCATATATATGTATACTGAAGGATATCTCATTGAAATTTTCTCATTGAAATTTTACGACTTGTATGTGTATTTCTTTCTTTTGTGTGTGTCTACACGCACGCAACTAAGGAAGAAAAAAAAAACACGAAGAAATAGAGCGACTTATTATATCACAGTATCGTACGCAAAGCTTGTATGAAATCGCAGACAGAACAGCATAAAGGCCAAATGGCGACACTATACGCGTTTTCCTCGTTATTTTTCTCGGCGTGAATAATTATCTGAGGACAATATTATTTTTCATCTCTCTCACTTGTAGAAGAATCATCGATATCTCTCTCTCTTTCTCTCTCTTTTTCTCACTCACTTTCTCAATTTTGCCATTCTCTCTCTCTCTCTCTCTGTCTCTCTCACGCATACACACTTTCTCTCACATTCTCTTCCTCGTTTCTCTGTCACTCCCACTGCATATTTTCTTCTTTTATACCCCATGGCAATGACTCTTTACATCCATGGTTCATGACAGCTTTGCATGAATCTGAGGTTCTCAGCATCGTTAGTAACAAAATAGTAAGCAATGGCCGCTGTGTTTACGCATCCTGAGAATAAATCGGTGTTTTCTTTCGACTTCACTTTTCTGCTTAATTCCATCGCTTAACGATTACAAGCCTGTAGTTCTGACAATTTCTTTCTTCTTTTTATGTTTCTTTGTTCGCAGGTACATCTTGTTATTCGCTATTTTCAGTTCGTTTCACTTTCGTTATATCGATAAACGATTTATCATCTGAATACGTACCACCGGCGAAGTACAGTATGCAAGTAATATTCGAAAATGTTTTTCTTACATTTTTGTCTCTCTTTTATTTTGGCTTTTTAGCTGACAACAAAGGGAAAACGATTACTCGATTATTTATGCGTATATCACAATGCTCGTCTACGTCCTAATTAGATTAATTGCTAAGCAAATGGCAGATAATACGATACAACGCTAATGAAAAGGAAAAGGAAAAAGAAAAAGGAAAAGAAAAATATACATTAAATAAACTTATCGATTTAAAGACTCATTATACATTGCATTTTATATGGTTCTTGAATTTTCTTAACGAGTACTTCTTAATTGACATCCGGCCAATTCCATCGCGCGAAAAGGAAAGTATTAAAAAGAAAATAAAGGAACTCGAATATTACTTTATACTGCGTTATTATACCCATTAAAAGGGGAAAACTTTGGCAACATACTAAACGTTGGCAACAACATACTCTCTCAACACTGTTCATTGTTTTCTTTCTTTTGTTTCTTTCAGCTGGGTAGCACAGCCTTTACCATACACGCAAAATATTCTTTTTTTACTTTTTGTTCTTTTTATACACGCATAAGCACTCGCAATAGCTTTTGCTTCCTCCGTATAATTATTATCGATAATCAGCAAGTACAATTAATAGTTAATCGAATAGCTTCATCGTAAATGTTAATAATAATTGATAATAGTTATTAATATACTTATATACAGTACAGAAAAACTGTTTTACATTGAATAACAAATTGTACAGTGATACAAGGCTAACACTGAGATCGTCGGATACCTTCTCTTTCTCTCATCTTTCTTTCTCTCCCTCTCTCTCTCTCTCTCTCTCGCGCGCGCGCTCTCTCTCTCTTTCTCACAATCATTATTAACCTTTATTCCCCCCAACCCCTCTTTTTTTACGTTTTTGAACACTATCAACACGCCTGCGCTGATAATTAAGTTTTATCTCGTGCAGTAATCCACGAATATATAAATATTTCTGGAAAGCTTTATAATTGGAAACCCATTTACAAATCCAACATCGGGGCAAAGAAAATCGGTCACCTTCATATTATGACGTATTTCCAGAAATGTTTTAACTATTCGTCACGATCACGGTATAATCACGTAACTCCTAGACACACACAGTTGTTTCGGTATTCAAAACAGTTCTGGCGAATTACATAGACGGTATTCGTTGAAACTTATGAAGCAACCAAATTTACAGTGAAATCATCGGAAAATTTCTGTCATGCACGAATTCACGAGAATAAACTGGTACACATGCATTCAAGAACATAACAATTCAAGACGGGAAATAACATCAACTATTTCTGTTTCTTTTTTGTTTTTCTTTTTTTTCCTTTTTTTTTTTTTCGTTAAATTAATTTACATCTTTACGACGTTTCAACAATTCAACCAAATCTATATCATCGATATAATACAGGCTGAGAACGAGATGTGCAAGAGTAATGCGCTTGATTCTGGAACTCCATTACGTCCGATTAGGATTTTTGTGCCCTTTTGCAGGAAAAACATATACATCTTTATGTTACAGTACAGGCTATCAGTTCATAGATAAATGCAATTAGCCTGTTATTGAACAAAATAAGCGCGTGTTTTTTTTTTTTTCTCATTAACGTTTACAACACTTAGATGAAAACAAAAAAAGAATCATGCACGTTTCCGATTTCGTCGATTACTATTGATTTGGTACTTACAAATTCAACAAAGAATATAATATAATACATTATCGCCTTGCACGTTGATATTTATACATCTTTTCCTTCTTTCTTGTCATTTATTATAACAGAATTAGTTAAATCGTGTATTTTGAACGTAACATCGTTTTACGGCATAGCTGCCAATTTGCTACGATACACAATTTATGGTCCTATTTCTTTTCAAGTACTTCTGTGCTAATATCTGTGAATCTTAGCAGTCATGGCCATTTGAACCGGTCAATGGCACAAGCTGATACTGCACTCTACTAACTTTAAGGCGATGGAGCACCTGACTTTTGAATAGTTTCTTGTATGTCATAGCGAAATACCTTGAAGAAACATCATTCACTCAACGTAAAGATAAAATAATCGCTTCTTATCGTAGTGTGATGTAATATAACAAGGTCTTGTGATTAAAAATAAAATAGTCATAGACACAATTGTACATAGAGATTTTTAGAAATGACCAATTACTGTCATTCCCACCTTTTTGCGGAGGAAAAGAAGATTATCTAATTTTATGCATTTTATGTTATAAAAGTCTGTATAAAATGATCGATATAAAATTAATTGTAAAAGTAAATTTTAATACTTCATCTAATAGTGGTATCTTATACTTTAACATTTGTATAATGCAGTATTAAAAAGAAAAAAGATTTAAAAAAAAAAATAAAAAAAAGAAGAAATAAAAAAAAAAAATAAAAATAAAACAAAAGGAAAAAAACGAGAGAAAAAGAAAAGAAAAATATTGAACGTACGATGATAATACAAACTTAAACGGCAATTACATTTGCAATGTCAAGTTATTGAAAATTCAGTTAAGGAACGGAATAATGTTTCCTTCAAGGTATATTCTAACATATATTAGTGATTTTCATACGCGTTAAATATTTTAATTTATTACTCATCTGAAAGCTGTACCCCCAGCTGTACTGTTATATTTTTAAACAAAACGGAAAACATCGATATAGTTCTGATTTTCAGTTTTCATTGTGTAATTTTGAAAGAAGAAAAACAACGAAAAAAATCGCCAATCTTAATTTGTTAATAACGATTAACTTCTGATTAATAATAATAGTAATAATAATAATAATAATATTAATATTAATAATTATTAATAATAATAATAATAATCTAAATAGACAAATACACTTTCATTCTTTCATATGAAATTTATATGTGATAATCCATTTCTTTTATCGTTATCTTCAAAGGTGATGATAAGTTTCTACACATTTTATCTTTTACTTATGTTTTTTGGTTTCAAATACGTTATATTTTGCATACGAATTTGAAAATTATGTTTTATTATTTCGTTCACTGACCGAAAAGCAAAATATGTTGGAGGTAGGCTTCCTATACAACGAATAAAATAGCGAAAGAAATAATATGAAATCCAGTTTTCTGTCCCACATTTTTTTTCTTTTTTTTTTTTTGATTAACTACTCGTATAAGCTTTTTTTTCTTACTGTAGATCGATAACCACAAAATGTATTAATTACTTTCTTTTTTACCATATTCAGAGGATAACACAATTCCATGAAAAATTCCAAAAGAATTCAAAACACAAATATTCAAAACTAAACTGGACATCAGCTAGTAGAGTATCTACATGCACTACACTCATTCACACCATCATACTTTATGATCACAAGCAAGTACTTTATTATAATTATCATTACCAATAATTAATAATTAATTATTCATTAAATAAGCGAGTCTGTGTAAAAATTTAGCGTTTTTGTTGTTTTTTTTTTGTTTTTTTCTTTTTTTTTTTTTTGTTTCGACACATTCGCACTTTTCTCACTGTTTCTATCCAGTTTATGTCCTTGAGCGCAACATTTGCAAAAAAATCAGTTTTTTACGATTCTTTCTTTTTTCCTCTTTTCAAATTTCTTAAACTATTATCTGTCGCGGCTGGAAGAAGTAACCACTCCATAAAGTTATAAGTCAATCACACTATTTTTTTTTTTTTTATATGTTACACGTGTTCAATGACACACTTACATTCACCATTTTCATTACACTTCACACATCTTTATAGCTTTCTTTACTTTTCTTTAGTGCTTGTCTTAAATAAAGTACATGTAATCTAGCAACCACTATTCCCATGTTTAATCTTTCTAAAGTTTTCTTTGAAGACTCACTGATGGCTGCAACAATCCCTGTTTTTAAAGTGTTGTTTTAAGATCATCTCTGCTATCAACTATTCAAGATAACTGTTAATAGTCTTGCAATATTTCCGACGGACGATCTCAATTTGGTATAGTTAACATAACAGGCTTCTTTCAACTATCTTTAAACTTTATTACAATGGTCTAAGATGTATTATTTCTCAAAGGCATCAGCATAAACCACTGTCACAGCACATGCAGTTTCTGAAAAATCTGCTTCGTGGTGATCTCATTTCAATTTTTAAACTTCTTAAATAGTTTTTGTATTTTTCTTTCAAAATTGTAACACTTTCGTGACTGATCCGAAAGACATTTTGTTTCTTTCTCCTTCTTCCGAAACTTATACGAGGCATTTTATAACTATACGAATTTTCACATTTTTTACAAGGAAATTTGACGTTTATATTTTGAAGGAACGAAATATGTTTTACGCATCACGAATTTTTAATTTTCAGTCGAATATCATATCAGATGTCAATACTGAAACAAAGTATCGTGTTACTACCTTTTCAAAGGTATTTTGTAACTTCTTAATGTATGTACAATCAGAACATACATAATTTATAAGCCATGTCTTTTCTGGTGATTGACTATTATGTACATTAGCTTAGAGGCACATTTGCGCCGGTTGGCTTTACAGAATTATCACTGATGATTTGACTCAAGAATTAGTACAGCTTTTATTGGTGATCGAAGCTGAAAGTTACTATAACTTGTTTGATACAGATTCGATCGGTTTGCTTGTATTTAGATATATATTTGGTCTTGCATTAGTTAGCAGACTCTTCTGGCTGTTTACAGTTTTATAACGTATAACTTGCAATAGAGGTAATTTTGCAGTACAAAAACATTATTGTATTATTTACCCCATATTTCTTAGTGCCCATTTCACTGACCACTGTAGAACTGTATACGACCACCTGTAGTTACTGGCATTTCTCTCATAACAGCGTCCCATGCTACATTAACAAATAGAATTAGAAAATTAATTGAATTCAAATTATTACAAACTATAATTAGAGAAGAAACAATAGTTATCCTCAAAAACTATAATTAATCGTTTGAATATTTAGCGCGCATTTTCCTTGTTTTATGTTGAAAAGTAGCACTAACTGTAACATACTAATTACTTTAAACAAAATCAAGCTAGTGAACTTTAGCTATAGATTATTACAATTGTTTTCAGAACGCAAACGGTTAACAATAATATTTCAGAGATTAACTAATAAAATCTAATAGGATTTTGTAAACTTTAACTACTATACAACACTACTCGGTATTTTCTTAAAAAGTTACATGATATAAGATCATAAAATAAAACTGATTTACCTGAGCCAACGAATGAGACGATCTTATCATGATTGTACGTTTGTATATTAACGTCTTCTTCAGGAGCCACATAAAGCATAGAAAAATCTTCTTTTGGTTGATGGTGATACTTTTCCATTATTCCTGGTGGAGGTGTAGGTGGTGGTTGTAGACATGTAGGAGGTGGAAATCTTGGAGGATAAGCCATGCATGGTAATCGCTGTACCATAACCGGATGTAGAGGTTGTGTTACGTGCGTGTTCGCAGGTTGTATAAAATTAGGTGTAAATTTATCACATCTCATGTGTTTGTCAAATATTGGAGGATATCTATCGAAATTTGAAGGTGGTTTGTTTATGAGTGGTGGTACTACAGAAGGAAACACAGAACTAGCACTGGTCTCTTCGGTCGTTGAATCTTCCGACAATAAAAGCTGTTCATTAATTTCAAACCCAAACCTAAGTTCCGTTGGCAACTCACTGTTCTTAGTAATATCTGATGTTTCGTCTAATAATATAACTGCAGGTCTTGAAGTTTTTTGCTTATTAGATATTTGTGACCCTCCTTTTTGTGTCTGGTCTTTTTCCAAAGTGGAACTTTGCTGTTTCATTTTCTTAGAATCTGGATCTTCCGATTGTTCTTGTTTTGAATTCACGGAATATGTACTACCCGATTTTACTGTTTCATGCTTAACATTAACATTTTGTTCTTTTGTGGTTTTTGTTGGTTTCTCGGTTTTTGTTAATTTGCTAGCATCTGAATCAATATTTTGCACCTCTTGCATTGACTTTGGATTATTTGCAATATTAACTTTATGTAATTCAACTTCATCATTTGAACTTGGACTATTTTTATTTTCGCAATACATATTGGAATTTTCAATATTTTGTGATTTTTTTGTGTTTTCATCGTGAAACGTATATCCACCTTTTTTGAAATGTTGATCTTCGTGCGATACTTGATTTTGTACATTTTGAATGTTTTGAGTGTAACCTCCTCGACGTATCCGTGGATTGTTACACCTTGCACTTACAACCATATCTTTATTATTAACATTGTTGCAATTAGAATTGTTGTTATCAGAATCGGGATTACAATTTGTTACTACATTACTAAGCTTTGATAGTACTGTATTCGTTACTGGAACCTCATTTGATGTTGTGCTATGATTATTTAAATTTGCAGGTTTCTGTTCTTGCTGCGTTAAGTTTTGGTGCATTTTTTCAATATCCTGTACATATTTGATAACCTGAATATTTTTATTAATAGCTTCTTCTTGAGCTTCTGCCTTTTTCCTTTCCGTTGAATTTTTTATTTTCGTTAAAGTTGGTGAAGGTGGTTTTTCAAAACTTAGATTCAGAATATGGTTTGAATGGGTGAAATTATGTTGCCTTGTTTTCCTATCTGAATGTTGCAATTCATCTAGACTAGGATAATAATCTTGAGGAATTTTATCTGGTTCCGACGGTGTCTTAGGTGGCACACTAGGCCATGAAGACGTGTTTAATATATTCGGAACTATCGTAGACATATTTAACACCGAATTATGAGTCATATTAATAGTTGCCATACGAGCTATGTCCGCGTAACTTGCTTGCGGAGTTCCACCCGATGAGGTAGCTATTTTTGATAGATTATGTTTGGACGTGTTTGATGTAACAGGTAAAGAATGGACAGAGTCAGAATCACTGCTGTCTGATTTATCACTGCAAATAATTTTATTTTATTTTATTTAATGGTACAGATTATTCGAATTATATGAAATAATAAAATTTCTTCTGTGGATACTGCTTTCGAAAGTTATTTATATAAAAGAAATTTGAAGAAAGTTGTATTAATTACCTCGGTGGCATACTGCTTGCTGATTTTCTTCTAAGTTCAGGAGAAAGTGGCGTTCTATATTCATTAGAGAATCCTCTGGAATTTTGGAGATAAGATCCGGACGTTGTTAAATTTTGTGCTCTACTCCCGCTAGAGCTTCGTCTCTGTTTTTTACTTTTCTTCTTTTTCGTAACTACCAGGAATTCTGTTTCATGTTCAGACTCTGGATTGATTTTTTTATTGGAGTTTCGACGACTAGCATAATCATCTCCAGTATCATTGCAATATATAGACTGACCTTCTTCCGTTCCCCAAGATCGTCTATCACCACGACTATCGATAGCTGTGTCCCCTGTGCTTTTCTGTTTTGCACGGCGTAAAGCAACATTGATCGTGCCTACTCGAACGATATAAGCAAACTTCGTGAACTTTTGCTATGTTCCAATGTTACTTAAATAATAAGCTACTGTAATCAATCACTTACCATGTTGACTTGATATACTACTGGCACCACTAGAACTAATGCTTTTTTCCGTCGTGAGGTCTTCGAGCTTAGTCTTAGATATCTCTTCAAGAGAATTAGACTTCTGTAATTTGGCAGGTAACTGTTCCCTTTTAGTATCTTTTTCCCTGCTTCTTGGCTTTGCACCTGAACTAGTTTTTACTCTTACTGGATTACCTGGTTTTCCTTTTTTACTTTTAGATTCTTTATTTTCAATAAAATTAATTAAACTGTCGATATCTTCATCACGATGTCCTTCAACGTTTTCCGCACTATATACAATAACATTAGGTTCTTGCTTTTTCTTCGATTTTTTTCGTTCTCCATTATTATAGTTTCGTACTGGATTTCCATTCTCATCCAAGGACTTCTTTTCTCCAGATCCGGTAGTATGCGCTGTATACTTAGAGCCTTCTGTGCAAAATTTTCATATTTTTATTTGTTATAAATTAAAAGCTATAATAAACATCGTAATTATAAAGTAAAACGGAACATAATTAATTTAGATCAATTATTAAGTATAGATATTTAATTATGTAGCCTGATTATTAATTATCACGATAACTTCATAGTAATTAATATTCAATAATTTTGATATATCACCTACCCATTGTAATGTTTTGTGTTTGTAGAGATGCAGACATCATGGAGCACAAATTCGGAATTACTTTACCCTGACTAGTACTAGAACTATTTGCAGTTCCACCAATACCACATTTCACACTATTAAAAGTTTGAAAAGAAAGGGTTCCATTAACAGATATTTTTGTTTTATCTTGTTTCCCATAATATTCACGGAACGAAAAATCTATAGTAGTATCCACAGGAGTTTGACCTATATCAAAAGTGGTGCGTGATTTATATTGCGATCTACGTGGTTCAATAATTTTCATTTCAATTCCTTCATCATCTTCTGTGTCTAAGGAGTGAGGTCTCTGAACCCCACTTATAGTGGATCCCACATTCCTTTCACTAATAGTACCCACCTAAAATAATTAGCACAAACAAAAAATAAACGTCCATAAAGAAAACAATGAATATATCAATAATGTACGAATTTACCTCAGTATCACCTAAATCAATTACCATGTAATCTGACTTATATTCCGGTGGTGGATTATCCGATTCAAGCATTTCATTTGTCCCGTATTTGCCTTTGCTATCTCTCTTCTCACGTACTTCAATTTCAGTTTTACACAAATCTTTTTTCGTATCTTTTTCGTCTTTTTTTGTACTACTGTATGATGGTTTGTCTAACGATTTAGATTTTTCTTTATTGGTCCAGTCATATGTCGTTCTTTCTTCACAGAAACCCTTCTTAAAATAGGAAGAAAAATAGATTTAATTACATATTATAATTCTACTCGTTATATTATTTTATACAAATATAAATAATTATTTTAAATAAAATTAATGAATAAATATAAAACAATTAATCTACTTAAATCTACAAAAAATTGTATTAATGATTTCCAACATACATACCTTCTTATCAAATAATAAATCTAAATTAGCCAACGAAGCAAGACTGTGTGATGCATTAACATTCGAGGGTAATGAACCACCTTCCCTTTGTCTTGCAGATACACTGGGTCCAGTGTATTTTTTATTCTTTCTTCTATTTCCACCGTATGTATGGCTAGATCCAGATGTCAAATAAGCAAAACTACTATCAAACTCTGAAGCAATAGGTTGAGCTAAATTTTGCAATGAACCTCCATGTGTCAACCTCTCAGACACAGAGTCTCTTTTATGCCTTCTACGATTTGACCCAGGTAAGCAACGTGAATTAGTTATTATTCTACGACCTTCCTCAGTTTCATCAGCTTCTGCTTCTTGAAGTAATTCCTAAAATAGATATTATTAAATTATTATTAGAATAGAAAAAATAAAAATCTCAATATACTTACTTTAAAAAGACTTGATTTTCCTTCACGGTCTTTGGGACACTTATAAGTTATAGCTTCATCCAATAGTGCACGTAATTCACCTTCATTTAATGTAGACAAAGTAGCTGGTTCTTCCTAGAAGTTACAGCAAAAAATAAAAATTAACAAATTTATTCCATATTATGGATACATAAATTCTATAAGAAAAAATTAAAAAATCTCCGTAAAAAAATAAAAATAAATACTAATAAATCCAATTATAAGCCTTTGCATCTTTCAAAAAATATTCATTTGTAAATCCAACACATACTTTCATTGAACAAAATCTATTATATAAGCTATAATGAACTGACAACACAGAATATATTATGTTATAAAGTACAAAAGTAATATTAATTTTAAAACTAACTACATAAATAACCAACAAATATATCAAATTCAGTTTAAATACACACATTATAAAACCTTAACTATCTAATGTTTGGGATCACTTTGTTTGTAACCTATACATGGTGCAGAAACATGTTTGGCAATGTAAATTCAAATATGGAAAGTATGCCAAGAGTTCAATCCAAACTTTAGGAGTAAACCATAAGTGGGAATATACATTCAGAGATATACTAAGAAAATAGAGGATATTCTGGCTATCTATGACTTGGTTAAATTATTTCATTACGTTATCTATAATTTTTACGTAGTATTTTATCATTTATTCTTTACTCAAACGTATAAACTATAGTTATAACATAAAATTTATAACATTTTTCAATAGATCATCATATACTTAATCATTAACAATAAAAATGTTACTTGAAGTTAAAAATCTTTATAATTTTTTTATTGCAATTAATAATAATGGAATAAATAAATATCTAATGAAAAACAGATTTTACTTTATAGTATTTTCATTTTTATATATTATATTGAACACCATAGTATAAACTAGACCACAAGGCAAATGAGCATAGATATAGATAGATTCAGCAGTGAATTTAAGGTTTCACTTATTGGATTTTATGAAGAAATATAGAGACCACATAGAAAAAAGTATATTAGTATAAATGATGTATAATAATGTCATGATTAATAGTACATACCTTCATATGCATACACGTACGCTTGCATACGCACTTACCCACCTCAACACGCACACGCACACACACACACACGCGCGCACACACACACGCGCGCACACACACACATACATTTTATACATATACCTTCTTATTTCTCACGAACTAGAAAACGTATTATTAAATTTCTAATATTTTGTTAATAAGGACACATATTTATTTTTCCTTTTATCATTAGATTTGCAATGCTAACCAATCTATGCAAAAAATATCTAACATTATTATACGAAATGTACATAGCTGTTTACATAACAGCAACAAAAATTATAAGTCTATATAGACTTTGATTTCGTTTACTTACAAAATACTGCATGGATATTATTATCAACTGGATATTTTTCACCTATAAACTATAAACAAGCTAGAAAATATTGTAAGAAACGGTACATGATATGTCATTTATTTTCGTGGTAATTTGACGAACATTGCCTTGCGGTAACCTGACTAGCTTCATTCAAAGCAAAATATCTTATCAGAATGGCTATCCATATAAAAAAAACAAAGTAATTGACTACTGCAGATTTTTTTTCATTTGAAAACTACATAAATATCGTCGGGAGACAAAGTATTTAGTAATAAACTTCTAATGAAAGTTACGAATAAAAAAAAATTGGGAACGATTATATTACTCCCAGTATTTGAATTTTTATAGAGATAACAAAACGTTTCCGAACTTACTGACCGTGAATCGTCATACATACAATGAAATACTTTATACGTTTTCATAGCTAGGTTAATAATAAACTCTTATCATTCTTCGCCAAAAGGAAAGAAAAAAAAGAAGAAAGTTATCATTCGTTTCGCAGTGTTGAGTAATATGACTCAAAAGAAGAAAAAAATACGTGGTTTCGTGTACGAACAATACAAACCAATCATCTTTGAAGATTCAGAAAGCACTGTTAATGAATACTCGTAAGTCCTTGGAAATGTGAAAAGGATAGCCAATAGCGAGTTTACCTTCGCTCGTAAATTAAAATAGGACACACACCAGGAATGAGTTTGGGCTTGTCCAGAGATCGATAGGGGGTCGCGATTAGCTAATTGAGACACGAGATACCGGGGTGACTTACAGACGAAGGAAAAATCTGCTGGGCAGTGCCGGCACGGAATTTATATTTTTAGAGGGCACCTGGGTCGGCTGCAGTCGTCTTTGCTCCGTCGAACTGCAGTCCCGCAGTATAGCACCGTTACGTAGAGACTTTGTGCATTTAAGTATACGATAAATGGTAGCTGACGATATGCTATCACTGTTCACAAGAAATATTATCGGCAGTATCAAAAATACGCTACCGATTTAAATGCTATTGTAACGAGCGGGCGCGGCGCGCTCTTCTCACCATGGCCGCCGCCATTACACTGAGAACACGGCCATTCCAGGATCGTAATAAGTGAGGGCCCCTTCATGCTTCTATTCGTTATTCTTTGTCATGCCTGTATCGTATTATGTACTTAAAAAAGTTGCATGAACTTGCAAGCAAAAAAAAAAGGAAAAGAAAAAAAAAAAAAAAAAAAAAAAAAAAAAAAAAAAAAAAAAATAATATAGCATTTAAAAGTTATGTATGAATACGTAATATATTATTTTTTGAAGTTAGCTCATTTTATAAATAAAATTGCATAGAAAACTAGTGGTATGATTAGTTAATTATTGTTTCTTTTTATCAAACAATTAGTATACTTCTAGTGCATTTAGTTTGATGAAATCTTTAATATTGCTCTTTCAATAGTAGATATTATAAATATGTATGAAATATAGTTTATAGTAAATAAAAATTCATTTGTGATAACATCATATAATTAAAATTATATCTTTAACATTTTAAGGAAGAATATCATTATTTATGCAGTTAGTCATACAATAGTAAATTTGATTATTACACTTTTCATGCTATTTTCTTGCTGTAAGATATAGGATATATTCAGTGAAATTTATTATTAATATTTTATAGCATTACAGCAAATGAATTACAGATATTTTATAAATAATTGTTTATTATAAAATTCTGTGTAACTAATAGATATGTAATGCCTAATTAAAGCAACAATATTTAAGTGGATCTAAATAATAGTGTTCTAATAGTCAATAGATTTTAATTAAATATATGAAAATCAGTATGATATAGAAATAATAAGTTTCAAATTTAGGGAAAGCAATCAATTTAAATTCTGAATTACTACAATGATTATCAATATGTCAGGGGATATATTATTATTTTTTTGTTCCATTTATATTATTATAATTCATGTATAAAATAATACCAATAATCATATGTGAAATTTTAATTACATAAATCATTTTAAGTACCGCATGAAGTTAATACTTGTAAGAAATTGAAGTTTTCTATAAACGAATTTAAAGTAATTTTCATATATACATATGCTATTCCTCTCCACGTAAAAATAATTGTAATCATCTTATAGCATTAACTATTTCACTAACACATGTCTAAAAAAATCTCTCAATCCTCATATATATTTCTTGTATTCTTAACTCACCTGCTTATTCTCAGAGGTAATACAAGTTGGTACACTTTGAGTTGTCGAATCTGAATTGGTGTCAGTGTTCGTTGAAGCACACTCTGTATTCAAGTTCTGGTTACTAACAGTCTCAACACCTACCACTAAATTTTCAATAGCTCTTTCATTAGAGATCTCACGATTATTATTTTCAGCACTTTTATCAGGTGCTACCGGTTCTTGACGATGTTCTGGCCCTGGGGCCATTTTGATTGAAATTGACAGCGTTATGTCCGCTGTACTCATAGTTTCATCATTTTTCTTTGGTGTTTTTAAGGTGTAACGACCCGTTCCGTTTGATCACGGAGAACAATTTGAGATTCTCGCATGTCGTATCACTTTAATTTTGTTAAATTTCTCTACTTAGTCTATGAAACCATCACGTCCATATAAACGAAAGCATTGTACACCATATCGATATCACATCAGGTTAAGATTAATCGGTTTGACCGATCAGAAATTCAACTCGTTCAATGAAACTAAAAAAAAATATACGCATAAACAATAATAATTATTCGTATTCAAATCATGAGATTCAACTGATGGTCTTTCCAATGTACTCAGATTTTACGCGCGTATCATGCGCGCTACGAAAGTGACAAAAATGGCACCGTCCACCATCTAGTGTCGTGACTGTCGATCAATCAGAAAACTGTTGTCTTTCAACTTTTCTTTTATTGCTTACATATATTTCCAATTACCTTGTACATTTCTCTTTATGTACAATATATTTGAAAGTATAATTCTTTCTTTATACTTTGTTATCAACGACTTTTCGTTGTTGAGGTTATTTCAGATCTACTTGTCAGCTTCAGTTACAATTATCGACTGGTAACGTACGTTATGTATTCCAATAAATTGAAATACGTACTATGCTTTTTGTATGAATGTTGGACGAATATTTATTTTGTGTTTAAGTCATATATTTATAATTTAAATAAGGACAAGAAACACAAAAACAAAGAAAAATCTATCCCGCTTGCACGTTGTTTTATTTCTGATATGTTCATTTAGAATTATTTGCTGCTTTTCCATAAGTAGTAATGCATAAAACATACATAATTTCCAATTCGTCTTTTTCTTTTCCTTTTCGTAATAAATAAACTTTTGATTACATTTGAACATATATTCGAATTACTTGATTTAGGCCATAACTATACTAACAGATGTGTAACAATGTGAAATATGAAATGAATGGAATGCTTTATGAAACACTTATTAAAATTTCATTTCGGAAAAAAAGAAATTGTAAATATTTTCAGATGACATATCATATTAATTCTTTTCGTCTTTCGCTCTATTGAAGGCATTGAAGAAAATCCAATTTCAAAGTTATAAAACGAGGTTGATAATCGCCGTAGTTCGGAGTACTCATAAATTCAAAATGGCCGCTGACGATATTAAAATGCACATTTTTCTCACGTATGCTGCGTGCAAATTTTTTTTTATATGAAATGCAATTTACTAATATCGTTGTTGCAATCGTGTACAGATGGAAGATGTAAAAACGTTTTTGTCCAAAACGACGACACTGTTTCTGGCATTGCTTGTACACATACCAGCAAGTATATAGTTTGTTCTTGTTACTATTCCTCCATGCATAAGCTTTGGAAGACACTAAAATCACTTTTTAAACATTTCACTGACAACTAGAAACATCGCACGAAGTCACAAGTATGTGATCGGATCATTGAAGCGTATTCCAAAATTGTCGGCGAATTATCGATCGCATAATGTTACTTCTGTCTGTACACTTTCCGACAATGGCATTAAAACCACGACTATCTTTTATCGAAACACTCGATTCAAACGTCAACAGTAAATCTCACTAATGAGATTTATTTTAAATATAAACTTAATTGTGTTTGAGTAAATGAAAAGTAGTCCACCCGAAACTTCATTACACGACATCGAAATCCAACCGTACGGTTAATCAGTTTTAGTACTAAAATATTTCACTCGACGTCACTATTGTTTAATAAATATTATTTTTAGTTAATCCCATCAAAAAAAAGTTATAGGAAAATTGACGTAAACCTGTACCGACAGTTTTCTCGCGACACAATAAACGATCGCTTTTGCGCAGAGAAACGGCGGACCAGCCGTTTAGCCTCCGAAAATGTCGTCTGGCTTCAGGACCGTAACTATATGTCAAGATATCTTCAGCAACTGTGATTTTTTTTATATATTTAAAATAAATTTTATTACGAGTGTAAGAACAGATTACTTAAAACAAATTGTTATATTTTAAAAGAGAATATGTCACACTGTGAATCAAATTTGTTCGAATCCTTGTAATTTAATCACAGCAGAGAAAATTTAGAACAAGATATAATATATTTCCTTTAAATATTACACAATTAAGTAGAAAACGTATTTTATGAAAATTTGTTTTACCATATTAGGTAACGTAAATAAATGAAAGTTCAAAAAGTCGGTGAAAATATTAATAGATACAACCCTGTTAGTTGTGTGACTGCTATATGCGTCACCGGGATCGATATATCTCGAACTCGAACTATAATGCGATATGATTGTCGATTCTACCAATTCATTGACGTTATAGGTTGTCTATATTTCTCTCTACAGTAACTCAGATTAAATAGAAGACAGCGCAGCGTGTATAAGTAGTTGGATAATTGTAAAGTTCGTAAGTTAAGAATAAGAGAATATTTAATATAGACGACTATAGATAACAAATAAATCTTTATATTCAGGTATAGTTAATTGATTCCGTTCCTATTTCCAAAACAGTGAGGAATAATCAGAGGCGGCAAAATGACAAAATCTGAGAATATTTTCTTGTTTGTGCCCAACATTATTGGTAAATGAATATTTAGTATTTAGCATTTTTATAACGATTCATGTCTAATTTATAGTTTTTTACATATAGTAATATCGTGTGAACATTTTTTTATATCAAAGAACTAAAAAATATATCTTAAAAACAATATTAGTAGCATGATAAATTTATACTTTATGTATATATTATTTTTTAATATTAAACCACAAAGATATACATTTGAAACTTTCAAGAGAAATGATACAAGATATTTTAAAATGTATAAATATGATATAGAATTTGTATTTTATTTTTAATGATTTTAAAAATTTATTTGCAACATATATTGTTTCTTAAAGTACAATTTTGTTTGTTATATTAATGAAATAATCAATTTCTATGAAGCTATGTATTGTGTTTGTGTATTATATGTATTAATTTCTCCTGGTATATAAATTGTTTTTATGAATATTGTAAAGTATTACTATTCTTATTATGCACATGGATGAAAAATATGAAAGGAATTATTATTGGTATACGGAACATGATAACATGGAAGATTAAAAGCAGAGCAGTTTGAAGACTTCTTGTATTGATTTATACTAATCTAAAGAGAAAGTTTTTCTATATAACCCCTCACTACATTTAAGATAAAAAGCAAGTTGTTTAATTGATAATAAGTGCAAAAAACATTTTATATCAAATGAAAACATTACTCACATTTTATAAATATAATAATCACATTAGAAATCTATTGTAAATAATATTAAAATTACAGTAAGTTAGAAAAAAATATAAAAGCAACTAAACATAATTAATATTAGTGATATGTAACACTAATGATAGTAATATTAAGTAATACATTTATATATGTATTAACAGGCTATGGCAGAGTGATTTTGGCTATTATATCTTTCTATCTTATGACAACTAACTATATTATTGCATCATGGTGTTACATTATTAGTGCACTATTAGATGCAGTAGATGGTTATGCAGCAAGATATTTTAATCAAGGTACCAAATTTGGTGCTATGTTAGATCAGTTAACTGATCGTATTGGTACCATGTGCCTTTTAGCTACACTGTGTATATTTTATCCATCATATTCATTCTGGTTTCAATTAAGCATGGCCATTGACATTAGTTGCCACTGGATATATTTGCATACGTAAGAATAAATTTATTTAGATATGTGTATATTGTAATAACAAAAATGTAAAAGAACCAATTATAGGTCACTTTTGCAAGGAAAAACAAACCACAAATTTCTTTCTATGTCTGAAAATTCAGTCCTAAGGCTGTATTACACTGATCGTACGGTCCTGTTTATTATGTGTGCTGGTAATGAAGCCTTTTATGCTGCATTATATCTCCTTTACTTTACTGAAGGACCTATTTGTAAGTTATTATTTCTTCATTTATATATGTATTATTAATGCTAAGTATCATAACAAATACTGTAAAATATATATTTTTTTCCAGTTCTCGGTATAAGTTTATTGAGATTGGTAATGTACCTTTCTGCACCTATAGCATTTATTAAATCTGGTATCTCATTGTTACATGGATACATATCCTGTATCAATTTAAGCATCATTGATCTCAAAGAAAGGCAAGGACAGCCAAAAGTAAATTAGATTGTTGCATTTATTTAATATTACTTAGACAACTTGTATGTTATTGATTGACCTTCCTAATTTAATATCCATTACATGCAAATACATTATATTTTCATCAATAATCTACTTCAATGTGCCATATTTAAAACTAGAGTTCATAAACTATTTTAATATGGATTAGATATATGACGCTAGTTATTATTTAATTTCTATTTTAATGATAATAAGCAAACTACAAGTATCATATGAAATATCCTTGTACAATTAAAATTTTGAGATATCTAAACTCTCATTCTATTTTTGCATTTAATTAATAATTTTATATTTTTAAGTAATACATATAACTTGATAATTTTTTTTTTTAAATAGATATTTTGATAGAATGGTATTAGGAGAAGATTAAGAAGTGCACTAGATGTTATCATTTTTTAAATGTTTTAATATAATCTATTAGGAATATTTTTATAGTTGAATAATTTTATATATATGTATATGTTCTATATCAGAATGTTACATTTTTGTTATATTTTATAGTTTATTGTGCATTGATGTATCTGTAATATATAAATCTCATATGAAAAATGTATAAAGTTTTAAAAAAATATTTAATAAATATTTTTGTCCCTTATATAGTATTAACATTATCTTTATTGTATTATAATTATTAATACAAATTATTATAAGCATAATATCAATATCATTATATATGAATAAAACAGATAGCATGAGTCATATCAATTTAACATACATTAAAATTAATTATTAGTAAATATTTACTGCTACACATAAACATATTTCTTATTATGTGTTAATTTATCTCTTGCTATACAGATATTTCATTATTATAAAGCTTTATGACGTTTTTATGAAAATTAAGAGAAAGATTATCTATGACGTTAAAAAATCCACATAAGGAGAATAAAAGATCGGACAGAAAGTAACGTAGACACTCCTATTATATTGCACCAATTTATGTAATCTATAATATCTACGATAAAACTTATGGAAAATGAAGCAATACAATATACAATGCAAATATCGCTTGTTCAATGTGATATTTATAACAAGCTATTATTACTATCGAGACGTTCTGCTAAATCATTATAAAAACAATAGATAAATTATACAACGTGACACGTGTTTTCTACAATGATAATAAAATTCTGCAATATGTTCATAATATACATGTCTATTGTGATGTTCGTTAAGTTAATATAGTACATAATATAAAAGATTTACGATATGCGACATTACTTAAATGACAAAATAATCAACTAACCTCAAAAACTTCGTTCTCATTCCCCCGTCATGACCAGTCATGTTTCGGCGCCATGTTAACACTTCAAACATTCGCGCATGTTGGAAAGTTCAGAAAATTCGTGCAAATTTCTTCTTGTCGTTAAATGCTTTGAAATGAAACTTTCACCAACTATGCTTACTAAGATGAACGAAAACGTCTCACTTGGACGGTGTTTATAGTTTGCACTGCATCGAGGTACACGAAACAAAGTACAATATTTATAAAAACAGATGAGAATTCTTCACCGGCTTACTACGGGACGATTCGCGACACGACAGCGCCAATGTCGTCAGCTGCATGTAAAATGGCGGTTTTTCATCGGTATTCGAATTCACGGTTAACTACTTTATCTTGTATAAAATAATTTTTAACATCATACAAAAAAGTATGTGTTTATGTACTCATATATGTATTTACGTATAAATATATACATATATATAAGCTTTTATAATTGCAGACATTTATTAGGCTTTAAAATTGCATGATTTATAGCAACAAATGATGACTTTGTGATTTTCATGTTATATTTTTCCTTAAATCTAATAATAGGAATATTTGACGTTTCGAGAAAGAGCAATGTATTCTTTATATATATTAATACTTATCAATTAGACTATTTTAAATTGTTAATATTTTTAAATTATTTTTACAAATTATAACAGGTTACAATTTTAGTCTAATTTTTTTTGTTATTAAATATACTATGGATAGATATGTAGAGAGTTACATTTTTATTTATATATGACGATTTTTTGTACACTATATAATTTAATGTGATCAAGTTTTGTTTTGTTATAAATTACAGAAGAATAAACTGTTAAAATGTAAGTATAACTTTTTAATATTTATTTTTCAGTTTTTTGATTTTTATAATATTAAACACTTACTAATATTATTGTTATTACTACTAATAGACAGTTTTGTTTCAGTAGAAAAATATTATAATCAATATATAATTATGTATTAATACATAGTAAAAAAGTTCTGTATAAAATATGCAAGTGCTATCTCCATTACATACTTTAGTTGTTAATCTTAAGGGTGGGACACCACTTTGGAAAGTCGAAAAATAGGTAAACTTTGGAATTTTTTCGTAGGTAATTATTAAATAAAAATGTAATCATTTTTTTTTTTAATGATATTCATATAACTTTTAGCTTCACTTTACAATTTTTTTAAATTAAAAATATTACAAAATGGTGAAGTTGTTCACTAGGTCTAAAATCTTTTTGTTGAAACAAATAATTGGCTACCATTTTTGGCGAGGATTGTAACATTTGAATACATTAGAAATGCTAACATACATTATACAAATTTCTTGCATGTATCTTTTCAAATTAATCTGGTATTTATCGAATTCTTTTATTATGTCTCTCTACTAACGTTGCAGCGTTAGATAGTCGTTGCTTATACGTTATTTTACATAAATCGTACATCATTGTTTTATTATCTGTAGATGTGATCAATCTTCCAATACGAACTTTTGACATTTTCGACTTCATATTAAAAATTTACTATTTATATTTTATTAGCAGATCACAGTCTTACACTGCAGTCATTCTAAACTGCATTCTCTTTTGGTACAAAATATTTAAATTAAATTCGCTACAATTATATTTTTTACAAAAAACAAAATATGAATATTTGGTATAACATTTTATGCTTGAAACTTTAAGAAACTAAGAAAAGATTTATTTTTTTTTAATTAATAGGGTGGTGTTCCTCCTTAAGGTTCTAATACAATCATAAATAAAAATTTATAACATTAATATATTAAACTATCTTACAAAACAATTTGTATTTTCAATAATAGTTAGAAGAATTAATAAAAAAGAAAGATAAAATATAGATTAATGTTAAGGAGCAACTAAATTATTCACAGTAATTTATTACTCACGCAATACAGTTATAAGATTTTCTGCAAAATGTAAATCTGCTCCAGAAGGATATAACAGTATCATTTTACCTTCCATAGTTACCACTTTTACTTGTTGTACAACTAAATTATGATAGTTTGAAGAATCCTTTTGTTCTGGGAGACATCCATAACCAAGTATGACTAATTCTTTTAAAAATTGATCCAGTACATTTCTAATGAAAGAAAAATTGTGATTACATATAGCTAAAATTATATATCAGTTTCAATGTTAGTATTAACTTTATTAAAGCTAATTAAAAATTAAGAATAAAAAGAATTATTGACAGGTAAATATAAATTGTTATTACTGAATTATAATATTACCTGCAAATATCATATGATATAGTACTGGTTACTTCTATTAGTATTGCTTGAGTATTTACTGACATTTTTGTAATATCACTGTTTGTTATTGGTGGAAATGATATAACTTGCTCTGAGGCATCTAATAAACATGGAAATAGAGGTTTACCTTCTAATAAATATATATATTTGTGAATGCCAGAATATACATTGCGTTTTTTTTCTTTTCTTAAATTGTCAGCTTCAGTTTGTAATTGTTGAAACAATGCAGCACCAGTATAAACATTATTACGCATTAATGGCTTGATTTTTAATTCATTTGGTCGTTGTGCTGTGTATATTAAGTCTCCTAAATATTAAAACTGATATTAACAAAATGTATTTATTCACATGTAAGCACTTTCAATGTCAATCATATTTACCAGAAACAATTGATTTCAAATCATGCGTAGCAATAGTAGCTGCATTTCTTTTTTCACATATACCATTGTGTAATTTAGTTTGAAGTTGAATAAATTTCTTAAAACTGTCCTCTATAAAACTCATATTTCTAATAATACAAGCTGCAATATAAGGTCTAATATTTCTCACATATTTTGTAACTTTAATTAATGGTATGTCATTTGTTATTTTCAATACTTTTATCTTGTGTGTTAAAATATCTGTTACATTAGCATTATTTTCAGTTTCTGATAATTTTTGTACTTTCTTTCCTTTTTTTGATTTAGCATTTGAATTAATAAAACCATCTTGTTTAGGACAATGCAATCTCACATATTCTATTATTTGTTTACTACGGCACTGATCAATCAATTTTAATAATCTTTTGTCTGCCAATGTATTCCCTTTTAAATGAAGTTCCTTGAGCTTATTACAATCAGCTATTTCACCTGGAATGACTGCAATAAAAAGAAATTAAGAACTAAATCAATTCCATAAAAGATTATCTTACATTATTTAAAAATAAATTACCTGTAATCAAATTGTCCGCTACATTTATTATTTTTAAAGATGAAAGCTGATTTATAGTTGCAGGAATTTCTTTTATTTTATTTCCATTAACATAAATTTCAGAAAGATGAACCAATTCTGGATAGCATACATCAGGAAAGACTTCAAACTGATTATTCGAAAGATTCAAAACAGTCAACTTAACATTATTTATTTGCGTGGGCAAGGATTTTAAAAGATTTGAACTCAAGTTCATAGTTGTTAATTGTGGAAGATTACCAATTTCATCTGGCACAGATTTCAACTTGTTCCTGGAACAATCGAGAACTTTCAGTTTTTCTAATTTCTCAATTGTACCAGGTAATTCTGAAATTTCATTTGAATGTAGAACTAGAGTCGTCAGATTTTGTAAATTTTTGATTTTTGTTGATATCTCTTGTAAACATGTCTGTGTGATATTCAAATAATTTAAGTGCTGTAGGTTAAACAAAGATTTGTCAAAGCCTCTTTTTTGTATTAGGTCAGAAATTGCTGGACCTGACAACACTAATTCGTGTCTATTTTCTTCGGCAGCAATTTTTATCACATGCCACGAATTGTCAAATGTCATTATTAGTCAATTTTAAACAACTTTCTATTAACAGAGGATTATATTGTTTCAAGGTTACGTGCCAGGTTATTTAGTTTGAAACGTGCGTCGTTCGATTATAACGACATCTATGTACATAAGGCGATTTAAAAATCGCAGTTACAAAGAATAGCTAGATAAAAGACAAATACATACATCTTAAATTATATCGAATAAACCATATACGTCACACGAGGTTTTGGTTAATGTTGTGTGTTTCATACTTATTATGTTAAATGATAACGGTGCTATTAGTCATATTTTGTCTAATTGTTTGATTTGAAAATGCTATTTTTATTATATGGGATAATATTATTTAATATTATATGATTTTTAAATCATAAATTAAAGTATAATCCTAAGTGTAAACTTATAAAAATATAAAGTAATAATCAGAATGAAGTATACTCATCTAATTCAAATTCTTAAGTTTATAGTTCATGCAATTCTTGAAACTTTATTATTTGAATAATTTGAATTTGTAATATAGAAAATTAAATTTATTTTACATGATTATGTGTGTGTATTACATGATTTTGGTTGGTGATTAATTTTCAGAAAATCAATTTCTATGTTTATAAAAAACATATTACCATAAAATAAAAATATGTTCAATAATTAAAATTTTATTTTTACTCTTTGTCTAATTCAGTAATTGTTTTCAAATTTCGGAAGTGTTGACCTACATGTAAATGAAGCTTTTAATAAATACAAATTATCGCATGGAAGTTTAGGACCTGTAATTATCTTGTCTGTATAATAAGTAAGAGGGTGTCGTGTAAAAATTTATCTTTTGACGATTCAACAATTACGTTCGTATATATTGAACCGGTTTTAAACGGTTCTCACCTTGATATAATTCTTCTTATCTTAGACGAATAATAACCTATGTTGGAACTGGAAACGGCATATTTAAATTTTTGTCAAAAAATAAAATGGAAAAATGAAGATAGTATTTTATGAAATATTAATTATGTAATATGTATGAGAGGACTGTTTTGGAAAGAAGATAAATATTCGATCACACTTATGATTTATTAACACATTTAATATTTCTGAACAGGTATTCTTAATTCGATGTTACTTCGAAGGAAGTAACGTGACAGATTATATATGGCCATCATTATGTACGATGGTGACTACTATGCAAAGTTTCCAGTAAAAAGAAAAAAGTAATATAAACCATAATGAGTGGTGTGGCATAAGTGAAGAAAGACTTTATTACTGACCTTCGTTCATAGTCACTGTTGTGGAGGAACTGGCAAGGTTCATAGGAAGTATCGAGTAGCGATGATAGGAAGGATCTGTCCAGCGAAATTTGCATGTGAATAAAGTGCGAAGGAGGATGTTAATTTTAACCGGTGTGGAAGACCGTTTAGAGCGGCGTGTAAATAATTTCTTGCTACTTCAAGCGACAATGTCGACCGTCAGGATTTTTAATTAATCTGCGACTTTCCTTCCGCATTTGTAAATATTTCTAATCTGTGATTTGGATCAGGTAATTCAAAATCAGTTCGTTCATGCATAATTTATTTTTAAAAATAAAACGTAGAAGAAGGTAGAATATAACTTCTTATTTTCGTTACACGTACTTGATGTATTAAAAATATAGTAATATCTTTTTTACATAACTTAATGCATTTACGATATCTAGTAATCTATCTAGTAATCTGACAATATCTAGTATCAATATACAATATATAATTTAATAAAGATGTATAAATTGATCTTAGAAATTAGGAAAAACATAAGTTTTTCCTTTAATGAAGGCAAGCAATATTATTTAAAAATTTGATCTACATCAACGACTTTACTTCTTTTTTTACGAATTTTTTTTTTTTTTTTTTTTTTTTTACAGGCGAATGGGAATTTATTAGTAATTTGATGCATCCTCCAAACAATGAATAAGGCACTGTAAATTTGCTATAGAGGAACATGCATAAGTTCTGCTCAAGAAAGAATTGTAATTATAATTCGCAACTGTATCTATGCATTCTTGTTCTAATTTTTTTAATCATTTTATATAATCATTATTAATCAACAGAAGTAAGGTAATAAGATTTTTAAATTCATCTACATCCATCGCGATTTTCATTTTTCGTAAACCACTCAATTGTATTACCCGATTGTATCCTTATAGCACTACCTCGATCTCAAGAACGTTCATGAGCCAACAAATATTATTTATTACCACTTGACGACGTTCGTCCGTGTTACTCCTCCACGCTCATCATCCCATATACCAAATACCACACGTTGTCCAACGCATTGTGGAAGCCTTCGAGGAACCAAGCTAGCAAATCCCGACTTTCTGTTACCCAAAGTCCACGGTTATCAGCAACCGTCCCCGATCGCTTCCGTATCGAGCGGAAGCATCAAGCAGATCCGCGGGTGGGGTTTCTCAGGTACGTATAAAGCCAGGAAGAACCGGCCGATTTTCGTCAGTGGTATCGCTTCGAACAGCAGCGAGGATTCTTCTACTATGTTCTTTCCTACAAAGAAATTCGCTATGAATCGTTGTACTATTGTCTTTTCGTTAACGTTTGTTTTATTGAATTCGACGTCAGCCTGGCCATTTCGACGTCGTAACGACCTGGGTAATTCGGTGGACACTCTCGATGGAGTAATCGGTCATTTACAACATTTTGGGGCTATGTTGTATCGTAATCCGGACAACGAAACTGGAGCAATGGTAGCGAACTGGCACGAGGGCTGGGACCGCAATCCGGAAGAGTTGGGCAACTACGCTGAGGGTGATATCCTGTTTCCGCCTCAGCTTGGAAAGAACGGCTTGAAAGCGGAAGCTGCTCGGTGGCCTGGTGGCGTGGTACCCTATATGATTAGTCCTTATTTTAGTAAGTCCTTTTTTTAATTTATGTTAATTGTAGCGAGTGGTATAGCAATTTAGTTGACTATGGTTTAAGTACAAAGGGAAGTTTGATTTTTATGCAAAATATATATATTTATGAAAAATATAATGAGGTAGAGGTAAAGTTTTTTGGTGGTGGAATTGAATTTTAGATACAGAACAAAGAAAACTAATTTACGAAGCTATGAACGATTATCACACTTACACGTGCATTAAGTTTAAACCTTATTCCGGCGAGGAAAGTGATTATATCAGGATCACGGCTGGTAATAGCGGTTGTTGGAGTAGCGTTGGAAGAATCGGTGGACGACAAGATGTGAATCTTCAAGTCCCAGGATGTATGGTGAAGAAAGGCACGGTGATACACGAACTGATGCACGCAATTGGATTTCTGCATGAGCAGAGCAGATATGAACGGGACGAATACGTTACAATACAGTGGCATAATATTTTGAACAGTAAGTGATTTGCTATTGGAGCTGTAGAAGATTTAAATTGCAATATTTTTTGTGCAGCTAATTTATACTATTCTCTATCTATTTTTATTTCTATTTTTGAATTGATTTATTATATAAGTAATTTATATCAAAATAATGTTAAGATTGAATTTTTAATACGTTCTACATTTATAGAATATAGACTTTAAACTATCAATAACATTTCAATCATTTTGTTTTTAAGATAAAAATATTCGATATTTTTTCTCTTAAGAACTTTTAAATATTCTTTTCTGTTCTTTTTAATATCTTTTATTCTAATTTTAAATTCTTCAATACAAAAGTGAACTAATAACATTTACTTGACACTTACTACAACATTAATTTGACATCATACCTTGAACTGTTATGACAAGTTCTTCTCTCTGTACTCATTTTGTGCAGATTAAAATTGATAAAGTATGTATGTAAATAATAATCAATGTGTTATTATCTATTTAGGCCATGCTGGAAATTTTGAGAAAGCCTCGAAGGAAACCACTGACGCGTTCGGGGTCGGCTATGATTATGGCAGCGTAATGCATTACTCCGCGAACGCGTTTTCCAGGAACGGACAACCCACCATAGTGCCAAAAGTGAGTAATACAGTAGACCAAAATGATCAAGGTCTTTTTCTCAACTTTCTAATACCAGACGATTATACGATTTTGGGAGATCCCATAAATATAAAGGATCTATTAATGACAGTCTGATTTATGTCGATATCATATTACGTGACATCGTTATCCACAATTTTTAATGAGATAATAATTTTTTTAAAGATCTCGTAACTTTGTTTTCCTTTATGACTTTATGAACCTTGGGATAAAATCTAAATGTGATAGCAATTAAAGATAACGATGTATCATTAATTAAATGCACTTATACCTTAATAAAATCGAAGGATTGTCATAGCCTTACAATTACGATATCTTATTTATATTATCGTAATAAACTGGATCTTTTTAGTAATTTTCAAAATGAGAATTCTGAAACCTGACTTATTATTAATTAGTATTAATCATGTGATAATGAAATACAGGATAATTTAAGATTATTACAAGTATTAGTATTTTCGCTAAAATTTAAAATTTGAAGCACTTCTATGTAAATTACTAAAGTTTTCAAATCAAATAACTTGATTTCTACCCTGATGCCTACTTACGTTCTTGTAACGCCCACGATCCATTTTTACCCAGATTTGTATCACTTTCTGATACTTTTAACGATCTCGAATGATTTTCCTTTTCATTTTTTGTACGTTATTCGCCTTATTTACCAATCTGTTCAATGTCTCCGATGTGATTATGGTAAAAATATAACGTCGCGAAATTTGTGCAACGCCTACGTTTGCATATCCTGTGGATGTCCGTAGGAACCTGGCGGCCTTCTAAGTTTTATTGGCGAAATATTCCAGGGTGCAACGAAGGTTCAACTGGGTCAGAGAGTGGGATTCAGCAAGAGGGACATACAGAAGATCCGAAAAATGTACAAATGCAACAAACGCAGGCGAAGCAGCTATTGATTAGCTGGAACTACGATCGATGCAACTTGAAGATTCTTCGGGAGTCTTTTATTGGATTGAAGCAAAGAGAATCATGAATCTAGTCTTTTACAATTAAGTATACATGGCATTGCTCTTAACTTCGCCCAATGTTGAGAGGAATAAAAGCGAATCGGATTTAGAAGTGAAAATGAATCGATATTAACGAAGTAGAACGTGCATTCAGAGAAACAGTACTTCTTTTCTTCATTCATTGCGGGTATGCATGTATGTGTGTGTGTGTGAATATGTTGCTTTTTTAAGTGATTTATAATATTATAATCGTACTTATGATAATTGAGTTCCTTAAGAATTCTTTTACATACATTTTGTAAAGTTGGTTTTCAAATATGTGAATAAAAGTATCTGCAAAGTATAGTTAATGTTCTCATTTTTAAATATGTACATATTAAATATACGACAACAGTATTGTTTAAGTGAATATATAATAACTGTTATGATGTACGATTTTAGGCAATTTTTAGTAACTGTAATATTAAATGAACAGTATATTAATATGCTAAGTAATATGTGAGCTGCTTATTTGCCAAATTGATTAACTCATTTGCCAAATTTATCTTAATTATAAAAAGTCAAGCATCGGTGAAGTGCGTTGATGCTGAAATTTAAAAAATTGGAGTGAATCTCTTTAATCTGTGAACAGCTCACTATACTCACTTTACTATTAAACTTGTAATGCATATGTACTTTTTTCTATTATACTTGGATGGAACTGAAACATCATATGTTTGCTTATAAAATATTTAAACGTATTAAGTATTCAATTAATATGTATCAATAACTGCACATACCATATATTCACGTGTCAAGCATTGTTTCTCGTTCCATTCAAAACGAGACAAAAACTGGGAAGCAAAAAAGGAAAAGGGGAAAAGCGCGTAAACACGATAGGATATGAAATTGTATGCATGTACGTGTCCAACGTGTGCACATTCTGCAGTTGTCCTGCTGGCCTTCTCGCATTGGCGAAATATTCTAGGGTAAGACTAAACGCGAACTGGGTCACAGAGATAAATTCAGCGAGAGAGAATATCCGAAAGACATATAAATGAAACGAATGCCAGCAAAAATAGCCATCGTTGTTTCCAGGCGCCCAACGATGTCAAGTTTATATGAATTTCATAATTTCATTAATTCTTGACCACTTTATTACTCTTATTTTATTATATTCTTTAAACTTTTACATGTAATATCAAAGATCTGTGACAATCAAGGAAAACATGTGACAATTACTTGAAAAAGTATATCTTCTGTACAGTATGATTTGCAAATCTTTCATATTATAGTTTTCATTGAAGTAACGGATATTTCTAGTGATATTAAGCAAAATTATTATTATCATAGAAGTATTTTAAAAGAAAGTAGAATAGCAGATAATTTGTAATTATTTATATCTCTGTGATATTTTCAGATTATGTTGTAATGTAGATATATTGGCGTTTTATCTAAAGATCACAATATTTATTTGCTTGTGGGTTTGTTGAACTTTATCGTAATTAAATTTTATTATAATTAAATAATAATTATAATAAAGTATAATACTGTGGAAAGGTGGGAGTATAATAATTGTACTTGACTTAATTATACTCAGCCTTGCCTATTTATAACGGTATTTGTAATTTCCAGGGGCAAAGGACGTCGAGACAAATGTTTGTTCTTCGAGATTTACATGCGAGTGAAGAGCATTATGGAATCTTAATCTCAGATTACGTTGCGTGTATGTGACACCGTACGCAAATAGTGTCTTTTCACGGTATCAAAGATGTACTTGACATATTTCGGTTAGCAGAGTTAACGACCTCAACAATTTTATACCGAACTACTAGTTAAGTATCTGAAGAATAAATTATATTTCTAGATATAAAATAATTTTTGCATCGTTAGAGATGATCGAATAATACGATCAACAATTCGATAATAAAAGTTAATATTTGTTTTGACATATTCAACGATAAAAATTTTGAAAGAATATTTAAAACAGAAATGCAGTGAACAATATCAATTCAGCGATCAGATATTGTAAATATATACGATTTAAAGTAGGAGGAAGTACAACCACACCTTGGAGCTGCAATAAGTAAATATCTTTTATCACTTTGTATCATCATAAATCGGAAGGTTATCTCTAAGTGTCCCTGATTGATTTTATACGAAATTACTGTTTCAAAGGTCACGTATCAGGCACACCCATTTTCACGCGTTTATTAAACCTCGAATACTTTTGTCAATATTCTATACTATTCAAGTACATCGTGTGTCAACTATCTCAGCAAATATTGACTTTATAAATCCTTCACTTTTAGGCGATCCTGATGGGTAGTTTTATATTTGAACTTACGAATTCGCGTACAAATATTCATACATTTATAGAAAAATTCGTAAACTTTCCTTATCTCTTATCAAGAGGGAGAGGAGGGAGGGAGATCAATGATCAATGAGGGATCAATAACGTGATTTCTTGTTATCGGTCCGTATTTCAGTAAGTCCCTTATGTTATAGCAGGTAAACTACAAATAAAGGGAGAGAATAAACAACTCCTCTTACTCGTGAATTTTAGTCCTAGGAAATCTGTTTTGTTCAGGGTACAGAGGGTTGTACCCCCTCCAAACCACTCACCTCCCACCTCCCGCAGTCGCCAAAACACGCCGACCAACTTCTGCATATGTCCGACCCGAAGGCAAACCTGCAAAAGACTCGGCAAACTTCGTGGCGCCACATGTATAGCTGTCGATCTGCCGAAAATCGGCGAAAATTGTTGAACTCTCCCGATTTCGTTAATAATTACTTTTCCGTTGCAGTAACCAATAATTCAGTAATTTTTTCATTTTTATTATTAATTTAGGTTGCAAATAATTTGTTAATAACAATATTAATTTTTTATTAACAATAAGTGAAATAATTTATAAACTTTTAGTAAATTATAGATACATTTTGACACAAGTACATTATAAGTACGAGTAATAGTCAATAGTTTATTAATTTTTTCACTTTCCTTTATAAATATACACTGTTATCAATTTGTTATTAACAATAAATGTAATATTAACGATAATTTATGATTTTTTTGCAGAGTATAACTGTATATACTTTCTTATAATATTCTCTTTGAGGTAAGTATATGTATATGTAAAAAATATCTGTTATATTATATATCGAGATGTATTTTCAAATACTTCTTTTACGTCACGTATTTTATTTTTCTGTACTATGATCTCTAACGGTTTTATAATCCACAATAAATTGACATACTTAATTTTAGGAAATCGTGAAAAGAAGAATTAATTTATATTAGAAATTACATACTTCATACTAGTTGCTGTTACGTTAGTAAAGCATAGTACTTGCAACGCTGCAATGCAGTCGACAATGGAGTCTTTCGAGTGTGAAACGTTTCGTGCATTTTGTAATGGTCGTAGAACGAAAGTTAATTGCATGCTTGCGAGGTAATTGTTTCTTTCTTTGTATTGAAATAACCTGTCGCCACAAAAGTTTGTTTTGTTACGTTTTAATTAAATTTATTGTTCTAGGTACAGGCTGATTTTTATGAAGTTTATTCAATTAAAAAAGCCGCAGCACTACGGAAATTGTCCATTAATGAAGCAACTGTTTTTATAAAAAATTAAATGTCGGAAATGTGAATAATAGAATAATCATTTCATGTAAGATATGGTTTATTTTATTTTTCGATTTTATTATATTTTCATATAAATAAAAAATAATACAGTTTATGCTTGTAATATATTCTAATGTTACAATATTACCATACTATTTTCAGCATCCTGAAAAGTCTCCCTCTAATTCTAACTTTCCAACAAACAATAGTTAAGTATCCATGAATCTCAATTCCTTTTACAGCTAAGACACCTTCGATTATATTAAAATTTATTATTATTTATTTTTAGCGTTCATAGTTTCGTGTTTATTCTACAACCCACAAAGATCAATATCACGAAAGAGAAAATTCTTTGACCCTCCCACTTCAATCTCCCTATTATTTCCAATAATGGATATTCTACCGTATGAGTACTTCGACAACAGATACGTTAGCTGTATCACAAGGTAGGTCAAAAAATACCTTATCAATTTGCAGTAATCTCTGAACCTAACCAATTATTCCAATCCTGCAAATCGTCATTAGTAACGAACGCGGCCAATTAACTGAGAACCATGTTCTCACAAGGAATTAATGGAAAATGCAGCGAGTCACGAATCGCATTTGTAGATAGCAACCAACGAAGATTGATTTACAAGGCAATGAACGATTACCACAAATACTCGTTTACTAAATTCAAGCCGTATACCAGTGAGCTGAGTGATTATATCAGAATCACGGCTGGTAATAGTAGTCGTTGAGGCAGTGTGGGAAGAATAAATGGCTGGCTGAACGTGAATCTCCAAATAGCCGGCTGTGTGACAAAGAAGACACGGTGGAACGCGAATTGATGCACGATATTGGGTTTCTCCGAATGAGTAGAACAGATTTGAAATGGACCAATATGTCTAGATACAGTGGAATAATATTCGGAATGATGTGCCTCGATCTAAGTTGGACAATAGCAAAGTTTCGTGAAACTCTGGTTAAGCGTTTGATCTTGTATCAGTTGGGAAATTTTTCGATTAATGATTCGTCTTAGACATTTTGATACTTGTCGCTTTGACTGTTTATTATTTCAAGTAGGTTTTGAATAGAACTCTGTGTAATTTGAAATGTTCGGAAGCGTTAGATAAGAATGTTTTCTGATAAGAAATAATTTTTCACTTTTAGAAGTCAGATTAGACTAGATATTGTTATTTTAATTCTCGAGAAAAAGTCTTCTAAATGGTCCTTTCCTAGACTTTTGTTTTACAAAATTCTTTAAATCTTATTTATTTAATATCATAGTTTTGCACATCGTTGAATTATCTGGATATTAAAATAATTGTATAAACTATGAGTCTCTTAAGTTCTTAGTCTCCTGATCTAAGATACTACTGCATTAGACTATGACAGTAATTTTAAGAAAGCTTCGAGAAAGACTGTTGGCGACTTCGGCGTTGGCTACGATTATGGAAGCACAATGCATTATTCACTCTATGCATTTTCGAAGAACGGCAAATCTACTATAATACCCAAAGTACTTGATTTCCATTTCTTAGAAGCTTGCCACTTTTCTCCTATTAATGGTAGGATATTCTATATAAAATTGTTAGTTATCTTAAATTGTAAATTTTTGTATTCTTACAAAATAATTAAAAAATAAAAAAAAAAAATGGCGAAAATATCAAATAAGTTAGATAAAACGTGTTTGTGAAACGTGTAAGTTTGCTGCTTATCGATCGTACTTTTTGATGTTATAGATACTGAGAAGCCATTCTAGGGATACTTACAAGCTCGGTCAACGAGTGGGTTTCAGCATGACGGGTATTCAGGAAATTTGGAAAATATACAACTGTAAATGTAACTATTTGGTATAGGATATTGCTAGAAATCCTGTAGTTTCTAATTAATAGACGTCCTAGTAAACTTCACCTTAAGCCGATTTATTGAAGCTCTGGTACATTTAGTAGCTCATGGAATTAAGTTGTTTCGCTGTTTATAGTTATTTTGAATTAGCAGAATTAAATTCAATTTAATGTTTGTCTTTTTGTATCGATAGTGAAGGAAAAGTATAGAAACTTCAAATTAAAAGCACAAAAGGAAACTAAAAAACAAAAAGGAATATATAAAAGAAAAAATTGACAAATTAACTTACCTTCCTATTTCTGTCCTAAACATTAATTTTTTAAAATCAGATTCAGAATTAGATATCGTCCTGAAAATGTATTTTAGTAATTTAAATCTTGTATTAGATTTGGATAATTTTTAAAATTTATTAAGTAGGGTATTATTAAAACAAAAACTTATTGTATTTAAAACATTCTATATTTTTTATTTCTATTTTCTTATCATTATTGTAGCTTATAATTGAATACTGTATTCTCAAACTATATTTTTCTTTTATAAATTCTATACGATTGTTATAAAATACCTAATTTATATTGTTTCGCAAGTTATTAATTTTACTTTAGGGGCTGAAGTATAAAATTTTAATCATAATTCATACATAAAAATATTGAATGATCATCAATACGCATAATACTTATTAAGGTAAATTACATTTATAATTAGAGTATTTATATTTGATACTATTGCTGAACTATTTACAGAAGTCGGTACCCTCTTCTTCAATAAAAAGGGTTTAAAGCCGAGGTAGCTGCCGTCATTATTGGAATTATTTCTTATAACTACAGATAATACAAGGTTTCTTTAAAATTTATCATGATTTTATTTTAACGAATTTTGAAATCTCTTTAAATTCTTTAGCTATGCATATTTCATAGAAATTATGCATATTCAAATGCGCACAGCGCTACCTTTGCTTTCTCTATCCAAATATTGAAAGAAATTTGTAATCAAATTCACCGTAATTTCAGCTTTAAAACTTCCTCGAAATATCTCAATTTCTTTTTGTTATAAAATGATATTAAACAGATCAAAAACATTGGTATCATTAAACATCTGTACCTAATTTTCAAAAACAATCAAAAAGAGTGACATTTTCATTTTTTTTTTTAAATATCTTCAGTCGGAGATATTTTAAACGAATAAACATTTCACAGTGATTTGATAGGTCAAACAGAAATTAATAATTTAGAAGTAAATCAGTCATTCGTATTTGTAATAATTGAATTTTCGTTCAACACATCTAATATTTTAGTGACGTTGAACTATAAATTTCTTTCAGTGAACAAAATCATTTCGGTTTTAGAGGAAGTTCCGTTTCGTGAGAAAACATCGTTCAGCCGACCCAGGTTCTCTTGATAAAGTCCGCAGCTCGTTCACCGATCATAATAGCGGGTGCATTCGTATTACCGGAAACGACTTTCGGCATGATGCTGGTATCTGCTACTCTAACGCCCCTCACTCCTCGAACTCTCAATTGGTTATCTACTACTGCCAACGGATCGTCTGGTGGGCCCATTTTGCAGGAGCCAGCTTGATGATTCTCTGGTGCGGTATCGTGTTTTACAGCGCATTCCCAGTAAGCGTCGCAACCGAATTTTAAATGCTCGCAATTCTTCACCGGTGTACGATCCAATTGGAATCCGTATCTGTCAGATGAGAATGAAAAAGATTAGGCACTGATAATAAAGAAAAGGTGATTTTAGGATCTTAGAGTGTCTGTCATCCTGAGTGTTTGAGTAGATAATTATAAAATAAAAATAAAAGGAAGTTTAAAAATGTTTAGATTATAATGAATTAATTATTAACTATCAAAAAATTCATGAGAAATGGTATTGCTACTGATAAGAGTAGATTTGAGTATATATATTTGAATCTTTGTTTGTACTACAAAGATAAGGGAAAGTTTGACAGTACTGAGAAAAGTGGAATGTAATTAAGAAAATGATTTAATACTTAGATAGTTTTCGAGTGTTTAATCTTCAGACTGAATTTGAGTATCAGACTGAGTAATTTGAGAATATGTCAGAATGACTATGTGTAAGATAAAGATAAGAGAAAGTCTCGTTGACATTAGAATTTAAATAGCCCTTGAATATTTCATGGAGACTAGATTTGACTATCTGAATGTTGTTGGGTATAATCTTTGAAACAATGGAGATGCATTACAAAATTATTGTAAAAGCGATGCTGTTAAAATACTCCAGCAGACATGCTCTACTAATTATGGAAGTGAAAAATATTTTTAAGCATTCAAGTGGCACCTTTACACGATTACTATTTTTTACATTACGGCTATTTTGCAAATAAAATATCTATTGGGATAATTAAATTCGAAAATATTCACTTTTAGGCTACCATAAACATAAATTTGCCTAGGGTATCTAACGTTTACATTAGTCTAACTTCCCATACCTTTAAACACCTCATCAAAGTTTCAAACGATTAATCTCAAACACTCCAGCAATCTACCACTTAAAACATATTTGGAGCTACTACTCTGACATCAAACTTTTACATCAAAAGGTCTTCACTACATCTATATATGAAGTAGCTCGGCTTTCAATGTATGATCCATCAGGAAACAGTGACAGTTGATCGACGATGCTATTGACCTCCGTCAAAAGCGTTCAGCCAGAAGAAATCGATACCCGAGTATAAATTACACACGTGCAGAAAGTATGTTGTACCTGCTGAGAGCCTCGGTTTCAGACAACCTGATACCGAATTTAATAGCTTCCACGAGGCCCGCAACGTCGTCAGGGTGATTCAGATACTTTGGGTAGATCAATGGCTTCGAAAGAGGATCGTTGTTTCGTAGACGTATATAACCACGGCTCTTCGGATGCAAATATGTTGGTATAATGTAAATCGTGCGATTGTTACCCGATGTTTCACCGACCATGCCGGTTTCTGCGCAATCTGCTAGGTAACCACCGAAAATCAGCTGAACATCCGGATGGTCATCCTTTGGATTCGAATATTTCGTGTTTACCATCGCGGTTACCTCGGAAATACCTATATATTATAAATAAAAGATTATTTAATTAGAAATACTCAAACTGTGTCAGGAATGCGTAAAATTATTATATAATGGAGTATTGAAAGAAATAGTATTCGGAATATGTAGGTCAATAGTATTAATGGAATTTGTTGAGTAAATGGTCTCACGGTTAGGTGCTTGGTAATTGTTGGTATGATTTCTAGATAGTTTTCTAATTGAAAAATGAATTGAACATTTTTGCAATTAGTTATTTCATTCAAGGTAATTGTGAATATGTGTTTAAATATTTTTTCAATTGCAATTTTATAGATTTGATTATTGAGAAATAGATGACGTATTTGAAATAGATTTATTGATAATTTTAAGTTATTTCAATTTTTCTTTTCTTCTAATTAATTCAACACATGAATGATTTATGAAATAATAGTTCTCAGAAGTTAATTAATTACTTAATAAAGTGTATTGCTTTAACAAAGAAGAAAACGTTAGCTTGATTTAATTAATTACATTTCGTCAGACTAGTAGGTAAATAGTTAAGAAGTTTGTGCGCGACGTTGAGGTCTTGCATCGTTATCATTCTTTTTCGCAAATAATTGCAATACTGAATTTACTACCCTTTGATGTGGGAAATTAAGAAAAAGATCGAAACAAAAACCGACATCCTCGAGCGATCCACTCTGAAAACCAGTTCACTTGCCACGGATCGAATGTATATCTTGAAAAGGTATTTGGCTTCGCTTATGAACGACTGACTTTTATGAAAGGAATACGCAACAAATAAAACATGGCCATTGGGAATTATTTTTAACCGTAATTAAGCTTCTGAAATGCAAGAAATATATAGAATTTGTTATAAGAAGAGGAAAAAGTGGCAGCAGTTTGCATTATAAATCTCAGAGAAATAACTATATCAGTATCTCTTAATAAAAGAAATTTCTAAAACACGTTAAAAATTTGCAAATGCAATCCAGAATTATACAAATTAGGAATCATAAACTTTCGATTCAATTTTACGAAACTGCGAATCTAATATTACGAAGAAGTGTACTAATCGATTGCAATTAGATTCCGCAGTATAATATAATACGAGCACATCCAGAAATTACAGAGTGAATTATTACGAAATTATTACGAACGAGTTATTTATTAAGAGATCTATAGGTTATACTATGGCTTTACCTTTTAATCATTAAAATATTACAGCACTATGTCTAATCAAAACCAGTGCCACTTTAATATTCCATACCACACATTAAATCGCAAAGTGTACTGAATTTATGATCCAGATAATCCGTTGTTCCCATATAATCGAAAGTCTGCCATAATTTATTACCCAGCACATACACGCGTTATGAGAATTATCACGTTAGCGAGTTTCGTAAGTGCAACGTAACCTAACAGAACCTATCAAATATTAACCAAAGCGGTCCAATGGCATGCAACACAAAATTACTGAATAGCGCCAACTTCACACAATTTATTCAATAACTTTGTAAACTTCGATGCGAGCACCCTCTACCGTAATTCGGATCTTTCAGCATCGTTGTCGCCTGTCGCGATCGTAGAGACGCGGCACGTGCCCCGGCATCGTCGGAAATCGTTTCTACGAAAATTCAGAGCGTTCCTTCGTTACGCTGGAAATTGCCGTCGTGATAATTAAAGTTCCCCTCGGGAAGGAGTTTCAGTGCACGGAAATGCTCGAGATTCGCGAGAGATTTGCGAGCTCGGTCGTAAAATTGCCAGAAGCAGGTACGCGGCGGCTAACACCGGATGCACGGGCCAACGAAGCGACGAATCGAACGTTAATTGGTCCGATTCCATGGCGGGTCACGTCGTTGGCGCCGGTAAAATCGATTCGACGAGTTACGAGTTCGTAAAACGTGAGCAGTTCCAGAGGGGGCAGCCAGCCGGTAGAGTATTACGATCGCGCCGTTTTTCGATCGGTTTCGGGTCAAATGATGGCAAACAGACCGATCGGAAATGCGGTTACGTCAGCTGCCTGATCGGCAAACACGAACGGGATCATTGTGCAACGCACTTTCACTGCCCACTGTATGCAAGCTTCCTCGATTGTTTCGGATGCAACTTTCATGATTTGGTGAGCTTTTGCCATGGATTTTTCTTTTTTTTTTGTTTTTTCTAGTTCTGTGAGGCTTCGTTCGAGTGATTACGTTTCATTGTGGTGGTAGTATCTCACAGTGGATTGTACATGTATTACGTACATATACTGTACATGTATTACACACATATATTGTGCATCTGTATGCAGCGCGTACGTGTTTGGGTATATTCGGGATATTCGTAAAATGCACATGGCGTCTGAGTTGGTTCTTTTTATACGTAATATAAATATTTAATGATTCGTATTTTTCCGATACCTTTATTTACAATTTTATACGTAGTAAAGGTTTCTTTAGTTGTTTCGAATCTTTTTATCGACTTTTTAGAGGTTGATAATCTTTTAACGTTTTCGTATTGTTTTCATTATGTATTGAATCGAAGTTAATTAACTTTTCGGAATGGATCGATGTATTTGATGTGTGTAACATTTAGAACGTTCGTTTTTAAACAAATTCATTTTTAATAGGTTAAGTAGAGTTTTCGTTTTATTAGAAACTGTAGCGTGTAGGAACAGATATAGGTAAACATTGAAAACACGACTCATAGCATTTGTAGAAGTTTTAGATTATCAAAAAATAATTTGTTCAGGGCAAGATAACCTTTTAGAATGGTTCTATGTATTTGATGTGTGTAACATTTAGAACGTTCCTTTCTAAACATATTTATTTTTAATAGGTTAAGTAGGGTTTTCGTTTTATTAGAAACTGTAGCGTGTAGGAACGGATATAGGTAAACATTGAGAACACGAGTCAGCGTTCGTGAAAGTTTTAGGTTACCCATAAACTGATAAATTCTATCAGCTCAAAATTATCTTTCCTTATTTTTCTAGTTTTCTCATTTTGAACAGGTATTTATCTTCGGATGATTTGTGTTTTTTTGCAATTTTTATTAATTCATAGGTTTCAAAGTCATTGTTTTTAGTATTCTATTCTTGTTAGTTTTCAGTCTTTTAGCTCAAATTTAGACAACTTAACCTTTCACACTCGCGATTTCAGTTCCATCTCGTAATTAATCATTATGAAATTTACTATCACAAAATTTAGTAAGGTAGTAAAATTGACTAAATCATAAAAATTGCTCGAAATCATTCGAAATTCCCAAAATCTCCCAATCGTTATATTATTGTACGAAATAAAAGATTTTAAGAAAGAAATGAAAAATATTTTCTTGTTTACTTACCAGTACCAGACATCAGGCCATCCCTGAAGAGAAGGTATTCCATTGCGGTTGCCCAGTTGAGGGGAGTCGTGTCAGTGTCGTTGATAGTGAAGGTCAGCGTGTAGGCGACGTGATTGTGAAGATTTTTACCTACGCCAGGTAGATCGTGAATAACGGGGACGCCAACAGCGTTCAACTCTTCTCGTGGGCCGATACCGCTATTCAAGAGTATCTGTGGCGAATTAACAGCACCTAAATGAGACAAAGAAACAAGCATTCAAATGACATTGCTTTTTCAGCTCAAAGAGGAAATATTTACATCACAATGTATGTGATTATATTGTCTTTTGGGACCTTGAACAAACCGGAAAAACCACTTTCGTATTGTTCGATTTTCGATGGTAATTGAAGAACATGACGATTTTCTGAATATATTTTTTGGAGGAAATGATGAAATCCAATCTGTCTACGTCGGTAATTTACAATATTTTGTATCATATGATACACTACATCGTTTTAAGATGCTATTGTTTCATAAATGCTAGCTGCATTTATGCGGTCAGTTCAACGTGAGTCATCTAATATTGCATTGTTATTAGATGATTTATAGCAGTTTACTTGTCTGCTATTTGCAGGATTTTTTTAAAACATCTGTTGAAAATTTTCAGGTTTATTTGATTGTGAGGTCTTTGTTTAAATCTGAGCATAAAATTGCATCTCAACTATTGATTTTTATTTGGGTATTGTGTAAGAAGGTAATTGATGATTTCCATTATCCAATGTCCTGATTACTAAGCAGTACTTACAATGTTATTATTTTTGAAGCAGAGATGGAGAGCTTAAAGTTAATAAATTATAGCTGACTTGTATGCATTCATCTTTTTTCGCATCTTAATCCTTGATGAATATTTCTGAATGGGAAATAGTTCCTATAAAGGTTGACACTGAGTCTGTTACAAAATGATTCCACAATTTGGACAGGATGTGGCCATAGACCATAACTCGGACAAAGGAACACGTGTGATTGGTAACGATCAAAGTGAAACACCGAGGATGTATGTATAGAACAAAAATCTAAAGCTATATGGCCTTGTAACTTAGCGTCCATCTTTGTGTAATAATTACCAACAGCCCCTCTATACGTGTCATCAGAGACACGTTAACCGTGCGTATCCTTTTCTGCAATAATCTTTGCTTCCTTTGTCCTCAGAAAGACATGCAATTCCTATCGTTTGCGAGGCTATCAACGTGCAATTATGGTTATATATTAAGATGACTTATTTATATTATGAACAAGCAGTTATTTCTTGAACAAAGAATTTTTAAACACTGCCTACTATCTGAGGATATTAATTTATCTTCCAGTAATAGTATATTATTATAATTTTGTACTAATATATTATATATGTAATATATAATAATATAATATATATATATTAATTCAATATATCTGTATATATTGTATTTAATATTTTAATTATTATTATATTTAATATATTGTACATTTTGTTTTGTACATTTCATTATAATTATATATTATTGTGGCAGTTTTAAAAGATTCTTCGAAACGAATGAATGTTTTTCAGGGATCTAGAAATGGAATCAGTTTATGAAACGTGCTCTCAGCTATCGTAATTTTACAACTATCGTTTGTTCGTTCGAGAACTAAAATTGGAAGTGGAAAATTAGGTTTCCATGTATGATCATGGGAATGCTGTATAGCATAAGATAATGTAGACCACAGAATTGGTTATCCAGTTGCTTTGGTAATGAGTATTTTTGTGTGAGAGATACTAGATGTCGATAGTGAAACGCGTTTCTTCCTGCTTTCTGTTTTCGATGGGCTTGAAAGTTGAGTGACAGCTATCATTTCATACGTCAACTAAGATTGTATGGTAAGAATAGATAGATATGAACGGAAACATCTTAACTAATTTTATATGATCTATGATATTACGTTTGCGCTATTTTTAGTGACTTTTTTACTGTTTTATCTCTTCTCTTTCAGATATGATTATGTCTCTCGAGTAATACTACTTTGATTTCGCAGATAGAGGTTTTATCGTAATTCTTCTTCCTCCTTCTTCTCTGCAATTTACCTGTTCAATTCTACAAATGATACTAATAAATAACATACGCCTGTGGAGCGACTCCTATTATTTAAATATTTCGCCAAAGTGGAGCTATTTGTCATAAATACGAATATGCTTTCGCATAGAAAGTACGTAATAATAAATACGTAAAATAAGTCCACAATCTTACATCTGAAATTAACAGTTATTACCTCATTATTATATTAACTGCTGAAGCATTCCCGTCGGCCATTTAACATATTCTTACACTGGATAGCTATAGATGAAAACCTGTTTCGCACGTCAACACAGGATAAGCTGTAGTCTGAGGATCTTAGTATACGTATGTATATGTTAATTGAACTCTGAACAGAATAAAATTAATCTTAATATGAACTTGATATAATTAATCTTGCATCATAGATTATTACACGATCCATATCTTCGATTCGCGGATGGCAGGCGTATTTCATCGAGAATCAATATCTATCGATTAAATCCAGTTTGATGCCCCTGGTCACTTTAATTCAACGCTATCGTCAGAACTATTCGGTTTCAATTACCTCCGCTTACGACCACTTCTTTCGCCACAGAGACACGGAGAACCTTTCCATCGTGAACGAATTCCACACCGACTGCTCTCTTGTTATTGTCGAATAGGATCCTGGTGACCGTGGAATTAAGCATTATGTGGAGGTTTGGTCGATTTCTAGCTGGACGTAAAAATGCTCGGGCAGTCGAAAGTCGTGAACCATTCCTCGAAGTCGTTTGGGCTATGGCGAATCCAGTGTGAGTCCGTCCGTTCAGATCCGCGGCACCGTAACCTGTCAATAGTTAATGGAAATTTGGTTTCTCTTAATATAGTGACATAGCAATATAACAGTATAGCAGTAAAGTAACAGAGAAATATAGTAGTAGATCAGTATAGGAAATTTTAGCACAGTGGTAGCATAGCAGTGTAACAGTATATCAGTGTGGTACTAGAATTAATTATAAAATATTATAAATATATTATATGTTATCTTATTAACAAGCTTATTGTACATTGGGAAATCATTTCTAAGTACTTTTAAGGAAATACTGTCAAGGTTAAATTTTTTAAAAGTTTTAGTATAGCGTTTTAGCAAAATTAGTTTTGGGTATAGGTACGTTACTAATATTAATCAAGTAATATCTGTACACATAGGAAACTCAGTCTCCCACAAAAAAATTGACAATGAGTACCACAGTGATATACAGGAAAATAAATAAACAAGTAATTCTAACTAATATTTGACAAAGCTCTTCAGGAAATTCTTCAAATGCCCCAGTTTGAACAATCTTAGTTTCAATTACAGCCTTAATTTTATTCAACTCGTTTCACAGCTTTCTAGTTTACATTTCTAGAAGATTGATCATTAACATACCTATCATTTCTTTAATAAATCATTAAAAGCTATCTTAAATTATATCCATAAAATCCTGCATCACAATTGCAAGTCTCAGTTGTCCTCACGTTTATTCATTGATTTCAGATGGAAGACTTCTCAAATTTAATGGGTTATTGGAAGAAAGAAAGGCGTGGATACCTATTACGTAAAATCATCAATCAACGAATTTCTTATTTACGACATTGATCCAGTTTCGCTTATTAACTCCGTTTGCCTTCACTTTCTTTAGCGGTGAACTCCCGAATTGATTACGTTCGTAAATAGGGCGCCATTTACAAATTTGTAACAAGGTCACTCGCGACCATCCATTATCGAAATTATGCATTACCATCGTTAGTGAAATGCCACCGACAAATATGGTGTCGCAATTTCGTCGCGAGAGATTGCGTAACAGGTTTTTCCATAGATGTCAAATCAGGTTATTGGACTCAGCAGGATTACGCGAGTAACAACAACAGGATTAAAGAGCAAGCGTGTTCTTCCTTGTCGCGTAATAACAGGTTAAACGCGACCCGAGTAAAGTAGATCGACTCGTTGTTAGCTCTGTTCTTTTCCCACTTTTTCCCCACTTTCTCGAGTATTTCTTTACACCGTGACTGAAGACTTATAATGGAAGTTAAACAGAAGTTTTTCAAACTCGTTTGCAGGAGCCATTTCTCGATCGGAGATCGTTCTTTTGGCAAAGTTCACTGTTCGAGTTGGAGTTAACTGAAAACGGGTAAAGTCAGGTTGACGTGATTTAATTCGCCCGTAATTTGCGACAAAATATCCGTTGTTGTTCGTTGGAAAGTTCCTAGACTTTCCGACAATCGATGTTAAGAATTGTCGTGTCTTTGGCAAGACTCCAAATGGATTATTTGCAAGAAAATTCGGTCCATTCATGAAATTCTGAATTTGGGCGAATACTATTTTTAGTGGGACATGGAATACGATATTTGGTATAGGAAATAGGCTATTTTTGAATTAGAGGAATTGGATCTTGGTTGAATTCCTCAAATTTCTCTATCTCGCCATTTAAATCCAGCATACGATAGTTTCACTCTGATTGGAGGTGTTTATGCCAAAAAATAGTAAAAAATCCTTTCATTGATAAAAATTGCATGTTTTAATAGCTTGCAAAAAAGTCAAAGTTTTCAATATATTATTGTAAAATTCTTTTAATTAGGGAGGCATTTAATTATGAGTTTTCAGAACACCCTAATATTAGAGAATTTATTCATAGCGCGTAAAAAAGAATTTTTATTTATATTTTTTAACGTAAATGAAAGGAAACAAACGTAACAGAAGTATTTCTTTATATGCACATCGGTATATAAGTGGCTGAGTAAAGTAACAGTTGAAACGCGAATAAAGGATAATTAAATACAAATAATAGTCGTTGATATTCGTGCTGATTTATCGGTAGCTTCGCAAATAATTTTAATTATCATTTGTAAAAATCACCACACCATATACATCTAAATATTTATCATTAACATTATTAACAAAGATACTGCACTCGATTGATTAGATAAGATATATTATCTCAATTAAATTATTATTAGCTAGATCTCAAGACCAGAAAGACTTCTGTTCCCACGAGTAAAATATCCAAGAAAAACGCTATTACGATAATTCATCTGATTAAAGAAAGTACCATAAACCGTTACGAAAGATCTGATCTAAAAGGAGCAACAGATAAGACGTTAGTTGGATAACATAAAATTAATATTAAAATATAGCTATTACCCGTAATAGCGGCGGCAGCTGTCATTATCAAACAGGTATTACACAAGCGTTAATTACTCCGTTGCCCTAATCGAGCTCTACTAACCCATTTTTAATTATGCAATCTAATCTTAATTCATGTATTACGCGTCCGATGTTAATTTCTAGAAAACGAAACTATGTAATCAATTAAGTAATTAAACGATAACTCGTCCCGTTTAATAACTATACTAGCCAAGCTAAAGACTGATAAAGAATAAACTCACCGAGTTCTTTTCCAGCTTCGAGGATGGAATAACTCAAGGGCGGATGATAAGGGAACTGCGTGACCGTGAGTGGTCCACCGACACCGTGATAACCGTAATCCATAGTGTTTGCTTGAAGATTATCTTCGCTCCTGATGAAATACGGAAGGACATCTTGATAAGACCATCCTATGTTACCGAGCCTGGCCCAGTCATCGTAATCCTTTCGTGAGCCCCTCATATACATCATGCCATTCATAACGCTGGTTCCACCCAGCACCTGGTAACATTTTAATTACACATTCGTTTCTTCCACTATTTCTGTATGCGTTGCGATAACGGTGGTCAAACGAGGATTATCGAGTACAAGGATGAAACAGCCATGTAACCGAATGTTAATAATAATTTATGGAACATTGATATCTTAGTAATAGGTTATACCTCGAATTGAAAGGAACATTTTTAGATGTACCTGGTAAATTCATTTTGTTTGTGAATTACAATTGGTAGGCAATTCTTCATATATCTACTCTGTGTGAAATTCACAAATCTTTTGATTAAAAATTGAGAATTAGGAATTAGGAATTATTATTCAATAATAATAATGATAATTTTAGTTAGAAGTACAGAGCAATATATAATCTAACACTTGTGAGTGGTACATACACGTGTAACAGCCCCTAAAATCAATTGTCATGAACATAAGGTATTTACAAAATGTATATGATTCTCTTCAGTGTATTTCACTTCACGTGATTACAAATTCTGTATTCGGAATCAACTACATAATCTGAAAAATTTGTTTAAGAATATTGTGGGACTTATTTTTATTTGAAAATTTTCGTGGTAGAGGTTTGGGATCGTCCTAACGCTACGCCTTCTCGTCAACGATTGTCACGCGATTTTTTGATACACATATCCTTGGCATGTGCTGCCGAATGTCCTCTATGAGCACTCTTTCATCCGTGCCGCACACGCCTCAATCGCACCGCCATAATCTTTCATCTACGCCGCCGTTATCTAAGTCGCACTGCCATATTCTACCCATAGATACTGCACAACTTACGTTTCTATAATACATACCTTCCCTCTAGGCCAGTAACACTTCCGATCATCTTTATTCAGACACGCAGTATCTTCGCTTTCGGTGTTGTACTGCCAGTCTATGTCAGTCCCAATGAAGTTGAAAAAGAACGAGGGTATTTGTGTTCCAGTGGGTTCATCTAAGCCAGCTTCTAGCAATAACACCGAAAATCGTGGTTCTTCAGATAATCGTGCTGCAACTGTTGCACCTGCACTGCCACCTCCAATAACTACGAAGTCGTACCTGAAAAGCAATGCAAACAAGCTTCGTTCGATTTTCCACCCTAATCGATAATTAAACACCTTTCCTATATACAGGGTGTTCCTGATTGTAGGTGTGAAACTTTGTCAATATATTTTATGGGTCTAGATAAGCAGAAATGGAACATTTAATACTTTATTAAAAAGTTGGTGGAAAAATATGAAATACAAGGCTGTGTTTACTATCTGCAGTCGTTAAATTGATATTAATTATTCATTTAATACAAATTGTTATTGTTGATATGAATTTTAATATCGAATTCTTGAAGGTAATCAATGCTTCATTTCTATAAGCTACAACTTTTTAATAAAGTATTCAGGAACTTTTATTTTTAGTCATAATTCACTGAAAAAGTTTATGCGGAGAAATTTCGAACATCCTGTAATTTATTTCTTCTTCTTTTATTTTATATATTTTCTTTTCTCCATCACTGTTTGGATAGTTCAATACTGAGCCATAAATTTTTCATTGTTCATTAACCCTTTAGGAGCGGATGCCCAAATATAGGCAGCATAATACTTTTACTTATCAGGCCAAATGTTGTGTATATCACAGTAGGAGACAATTTTATTATCTTCATCGTTGATATTGAAATTTTTAAAAAATATAGCAACAGTGTAAGTCGAAAAATCACTGTGCATAGAATACCTGGTAAATCATTAGAAATACCAAACTGAGGGAAATTCTATAAATAAAAGATATCAAGAACAACGATGAAAATAATAAATTTATTTCTCAATGCATACTATGATCAGTATCATTGTAATAACAGTTCACAGGTTAAAATGATTTCTTTCAATTTTAATACCAAAGCACTTTATCGATACTTAACCATTAACATCTAAAACCAGTTATCATCATCTGGTTTTAAAAACAGGTATATAAATATATGTATAGGAATATGTACAAAAATACGTCTTCATAAGCTGACTACGTTTTAAATTCTTAATCAAAACGAAAACAAGATGAAAACCAGTTAGTATTAGCAAATCCAAGGGGTAAAAACATAAACAAAAAGTCTCTTGACTTTCTATTGTACATATATATACATATATTAACAATTTCCTACTGTGCATTCCGTGGAATCAGTCTGTCTAGCAAAACCGTGGCTCGCATTATATCTAAAAGCCAAACTCTCACAAGCAATAACCCAAAGAAACTGCCTAAACACGAGCAAATCGTGTTGCATAATCCATTCCTCAAAGTCAAGTTTTGCGCGGATCAGCTGTGGTCTCACGTGTTAGCTCTACTTCTTACGAAATGCGGCCTGTTATAGCGAACAAGGTTACGATTTCACTTTCTTCAACGTGACAGGTCAGTCGGTCATTTGACGATCTTTCGACGCTAAAAATCGACTCATCTTCGAAGAAGACGCCGATTGCCGTCATACGAATTAGAAACTGGGTTAAAGGAACGGAGTGTCCTAGGTATAGGCGACTGAGCCAAGCGAAAGGTAGATTTCTCAGTAGTTTGTTGGGGACGCTCATGCCAAGTGGTAATGGTATTTTGAATGCCACGAGGTTCATGCAACCGTATGCACTCCATGAAATGTACACTTGCCTCGTCGAGGGACAACGACTTTACGCGTAGAAATGTGGGCCTGAATAGCCAGCGTGTCTTTCATTGCTACTTTTGTCAAGTGTCCAGTATGTTGCCAAAGCCAGTGGTTCTAGACGAGAATGGTGAATAACTCTCGTTCTGTGTTCTCTTCGATGAGTCTATTTTACGTAATACGATAATGTCCAGCATTGCAAGCTGCTGAGGATTCTCGACCCTCTGATCCTCGTTTCAGAGAATCCTCTGTGATTATCTGTTATCTTTTTAAGTTTTATGATATCGTATAAATTTGTTACTTTTTAAACTAGCGTATTTATTGTTCGAAAGTTATTATTCGCATATTTTATATAAACTGGAATATTTTTATATGGGAGATGTTCAGTTTTATTGTTCTCTTCGTATGAGGATAATAATTCTTTATCTATGTTTTTCTTCTTCTTTGTATGAGATTTATGTCGTACCGACCAAGGGATTATTGCGACTCCAGTACTATGTTTTGTTGTACATATTTATTTGTTCGAGATAATTTACTGCCTCTTTTATGTGGCTCTGAGTTGTCAAATGTCTGTGTCTGATTTAGGTCGATCTTTTGTCTTTGTGGTTTGGTTTCTTTGCTCATTGTATGTATTGTTGCAAGGTATTATTTATTGAAACATCAATTTTGACTGAATTGTTGAATATTTTAATATTTTCCTCAGTTTCATTGTCCACTTTTACTACTAATTGGGATATTTGAATTTGCTGGAAGCAAACCTCATTACAGTTACATTTTAATGAGTCGTTGTTTTAAAGGAATTGTAATGATTCCTAAAGATTTTATTAATGTAGCCAGAAAATCCTATGCTCGATACACATTTCACTTTATTCTTGAATATTCTCCTAATATCTTGAGTTTGAGTGTCATTGGGAACGAGACAATTTTCAGACCAGTTACAAGAGAACCAGTTCTTCTGACTGAAACTGGTTGCTGATTAGACTTATCACAAATTTGCCTGTGTTACTTTGTTAGATGCTTGGTCTGTTTCTAGCAGTTCCCATTCTATGAAAGAATCTAGTAAGAAACCTTGCAAATTTAATAAATAACAGTCGTCGCGATTGATGTTTAATTATTTATTAAATAATACAATATATCATCTTGTTTCCTATCTATTTTTAATCGATACACGAAATTTCTTATATTTCTTATGCTTCCTATCTTCCACTATATCTTCCTCAAGTCTCGATTATCATATAAAGTAGTTCTCTGCATTCAACATTTTCCTCGGAATTTTTCTTTCATTTTGTACAGTATTACCTTACTTCCTAATATAAATATATATAGTTTAAATTTGTAATACTCGTTTGTGATATATTTTATAATTCAAATCAATCCTTAAGGCACAGGCTAAAATTAACGAATCTTCGCTAAATGGGTTCCAGAAATGGGTAGCCGCCATTGTTAACATTCCTGTATATTATAATTATTCTCTCCACAACGATCCCAATGGAACAAGATCACCTTTAACCCGTTTATACAATCGACGTCTGCGAAACTCCTTTTCTCCTTTGTTGCTTCACTTCTGCTAACCCATCCTTTTTACTTTTCCTAAGTATCGGTCGTAAAATAAAATTCACGAGCCATTACTCGTTTCTCAATGCCAATTTTACATGCTTGCGCAACAGAAACTTTCCATAGGAAGACAGTTTTTCTCTACCTTCGTTACTAATTTCAGCAATATCACGCTGCCCGTTAACATTACAGCCACGGAAATTGATTAAAACGTAGCGAAGCAATACCCTCGATGACTGGCCCCGTTCTGGAAAACCTGTTTCCATCAACCGTGCAACGATAGCGAAATTATTATCATCCTCGCAATCCTTTTTATCGATATCCTCGTTAATCACCGTCGATCATCGCGATACGGTTTCCACAGATTCCAATTAGGGATCTCTGGCTGAGATTTAACACGTTCACTGTATCCAGCTTTCGAGTCGGTGTACACCATCTACACCTGTCCGTATACCTGGGATATCAACTCGAATGTAGCAGATAGATAAACATCGGGAATTTTAATAATCGTCAAGAAAAGTTTCGATAATTATTCAAAGACTTTGATACAGAGCATGAAAGAACGTTTTACAATACGGTGGGAATGAGTGATGGATCATTTAGATCGGAGCAGTGGATATAAGTAAACGAGGAGTATGATTGGAGTGTTAGAGGTGTGAAATAAGGGTATTTAGAGCGCGTGTTTGAGACGACGGCGTGAATCTGTGTATGGTGTGAAATCCAAGGTTTTGGACGTGGTAGAATGGCTTCTAGAATTGTCTACACGAAGTGAAAGAGATAGGGAGGTAGAGGGAGAAATGGAGTACATACGTGCACGAGGAGTTTAGAATCCGGAGTTCAGAGTTGACAGAGTTTATCAGAGGGAATTGAAAATAGTCACAAACACGGTGTAATCGAATAATTATTATTTTTATCAAATATTCGAGACCTTTACGACTCGATGTCACTGACATCACGATAACCCGTGTTCTCTCGAAAGAAACATCCCAACTCTTCATCAGCGTTGCAGCTGCTGATACGATATTCTCGTCAGTGCATCATTCGATCCCTAATGACGTTAGGTGCAACGCTTGCGAAACGTTGGAATACTTCTTTCAGGACGTCACGATTTACACCTGGAAGCTTAATTTTCAGATCGTGTTAGCAATATTTTACCACACAGACACGGAGCCTGTATCGGATTTATCTGTTGGCGTTCTAGCTAATGAAAATGTGATCAGCAGCAAACCTGTTAGAGGGAAAGAGGGAAAGAGACCGTGGCCACGGCTCGTGTCACTCTATCTGGAATTACGCAGAAGAAGCGTGTTATGTAATGCCTGGTACGCATGAGAAACGCGAAAACGAGCTAATTAAATGCATATGAACCGATGAACGTGTATCTCTCGAGAAATCGGTTAACAACGCTTCATCCCTCGCCGCCATTTCATCCTGGATACTCGACTAAACAACGCGGTGTGACGCAAAAGTTCAATGAAACAGTACAGAACGTGTATCAGTGATGGTGTACACGTACGTTGCGTAGAGAGGCAATAGTGACTTGGCGGACAGAGCAGCAGACACTCGGGAAACCGGGTATGCGTAACAAGAATGTTTAAATCGAAGTTATGAAATAGCTCCTTGAACGATGATATAATTGATACAGGAGCCACGTCGGGAGCTGCTTATTTGAGAATAAACAGCTGTCATTGTTGTGGAATATTATTCATGGAGTATTACTGTAGAAGCAGAGGGAATTATTTTTCAAGTGACCTAGGTTCCTCCTAGAAAGTTTGTAATAGGGGAACTATTAAATTGGTCCAAATGATTGATTTCCGATTTTTTATTCTCACATTTGTGAAAATTAATGTTGTTTTCTAGTTGCATGTATTTCATCACTGTCGTCGTATGACTTTAATTAGTATTACATATGTATGCTATATTTTAAGTGACCGAGGTTCCTTCCAGAAAGTTTTAATACTGGATTAAATTAATTAGATTGACGAGCTTCGAATGTTTTGTTCCTGCATTTATTAAAATTAATTTTTATCGTACAATTTTAATTATTAGATTGGTAATTCTAGTGTCAAGTAATTTCTCGTTATCCTCGAATGGAAAGAAAATGTCATTTAATATGGCAACATACTGTGTTTAGGTATACATGTCACATTGGTAATTCTAATCTCAAGTAATTGAGCGTTTAATTTAACTTAACTTTACTAATATCAGATCATCTGCTTTCCCTAACAATATGCATACCATGTCAGTGCTAGAGGTTTATTTTATTTCTCAGTAATTTCTCCTTCAATTTTCTTCTCCATGTCCCTAGGAGAAACTTATCGATTTCGAAGTTCAGTTCAAATAACTTCCTTTAAATAATCTTTCTTCCGAAGCCTTCTTCTTCCATTCGTCAGAGATACCTTTTTCGAAGGTCTCCATATTATACGAAAAGAATCCATCTATTTTGGGTCTTAAAAGAATTCGCTCCGACTACGCGAATTTAAACTCTGACTTGGAATAATCTCTCATACTCTAATCAACGTCACTCGGTCCTCAACCAGTATCTCCACTAAATACCCTTTTCCATCATACGTTCCCTCTTTCTCTCTCCGCCTCTCCTTTGATCACATCCGGATCTTCTACGAAAGCTGGCACACACACGAACCTCGCCTTGCCGCGTTTAACCGCGGACGATCCTGACGATGCACTTTCAATTTCACCCAGTTACCCATAACTCAGGCCACGGATTCGCGGCTGCCTGAAACCGCACGAAGGATCTAATAGCCGAAGCTGGTTGCCTCAGTCCGCATCCGGCATAAGTGCAAGCGCAGATCCACGGGGCCAGGCGTGATGCAACGTGAGAGAATCATTGGAACAATGGTACCGGGCCATTACGCGTGGATACACACGCACACACATATAGACAGGCAACAATTTCACGGATACATATGCATGGATGCTCGCTTCCGAGAGGGACAGAGACGAAAGGCGAGTTTCTATACGGGCATTACGTGAACCGTGTCCGCGACAATTAAGAGGGTCTTCAACCGGTGTCGTTCAACCGATCGCGAGACACTCTGGTTCCTGTTCGAACGACTTTATACCTTAGTCGAGATTCTTCCGGAATCTCTTTCGATTCGCTCCGATGCCACGTCCCTGATGTGGCTCTAATGAAACGGAGCGACTAGGGAAGAGGAAGGATTTATGGGGCATATACGGAAGCCAGATGGAAAAAATGGCGTCCGTGAGATGGAGGAGGAAGCAGGATAGAGGCCATCAGTGATATCGATCGTACGAATATTCTATCGAAATTTCTATCCAATATTCGAGTTATTGTTAGAGGAATCTTCAATATTTTTTAGTATCGAGATTTTCCACGTCATCTGGTTATGCATTATCGTGAAATTTTGATGATGAATATCTAAATATGGTTGATCATAATTTCCGTGGTAAATATTCGCATCAGGATTCGAGATTTTTGAATGAATTAATTACGGATATTTCGAAAATATTATAGCTAACGTTTTGAAATTTCGAGTTTGGATCATACACTTCTGTATGTCCATTATCGAATTAAAAGTTGAAATTAACAAATAAAAATAGTATTTTCTTCTCAAGAGAATATTATATTATAAAAGTAAACTCACTCGAAAAATTTCAGAGAATAATTTTTGGGATTAAAATCGTGTTAAAATCGAATTAAAAGTAGAAATTAACGAATAAAAGTAGATACTATAAAAGTAAAGTCACTCGAAAAATTTTAAAGATTAATTTTTGGGATTAAAATCGTGCTATATTTTCAAGTAAAAATAGGGTTACAATTAAATTAGTGCTAAAATTAAACGGAGAAGAAGGATATAAAACATGAAACGATTCTTGGATGAAATTATTGAAATAAAAATTGACAAAAATATTTTCGAGATCAGTCTTGATTTAATCGTAATAAATTGGATAATTATCGGTCGTCTGTTTTTCGATAAAGTAAAAAATATGTAGAAAAGCGAGAAACGTTTGCTCGTCGTGTATGTGCACAATTTAATTAGTCCATGCATCCTTTATGAGAATCTCTATATCGATTCATCGGCGATTTGATCAGCCATGCTAGATTTATAAGATACTTAGGTTGGAAATGAAAATTTAATTTACACGGTTCAATCTGATACGGGAATTTTTAAAAGATTACATAATACAGATGCAATGAGGAATTAAAATGGACGTGCAAAGCGAAAATGTCTCGTCGGGATATTCTCCATGAGAGTATAATTATATAACGTGTGGCATAATATCGCTCTTTCATTATTTCACGTACCATTCGGTTAATATTTGAAAAGAAATTTCCTGTATTTTTTCGTGATCAAATACATTTCTTTCTTTTTCTTTATTTCATTCGCTATTTGATTTCATTATGGATAAAGTTCGTATTATTAACGTTGCCTGTATTAAATTTCTTCTCTCATATTACACTTTTGACCTATTACTCCATATAAGTATTCATTTTTATGTCACTGATATTTCGAGAGGTAGGTTTATAAATCTAATTGCAATAAATTCAAATATATTACTAACTTTATTAATATTTTAAATTATATATTCCTACTATCTCGAATAAAAATTTCCATACTGTGACACATGATTCGATAGATCTTACGTGATCATTCCAGTCTTAGAAACCTAATTGTGCAATACAATTTATTTTCATATCCATGATGTATCTCACTTATAGATACAAATATCTATCTTCCAACGTTAAATCTATATTAAATCACGCGGTTATATTAATATTGCTATCTCAAATAAAAATTTCCCAACCACATCTTACGTTTCGAGAGCTTTTGCGATATTAATTTCCTAAAAATACACGAAAAGTCAGGATATAATGGCACGGAGAACATACACACGTACAGCCACGCAAACAGGCAGTGGTTTTAAAATCGACAAAGGAATTCGAGGCAAAGAGGACGTGGAAAATAAAATACAAATCCTGCTACATTTGCCTGTTAGCGAAACAAAGCATCGAGCGGTACAAGGAAATAAAATGAAAATAAAATGAAAATGGACAATCGTGCACGATGATCGGTTCTGTATTCATTACCCTTTTTAAATTCAAATCCCTAAGGGCCTCGGTGTTTTATCCTAAAACATGGTTGATTCAACGTTCGTTTAACAGAACCAAGAGACAGTACTAAAACCGAAACGATACAGAAATATTTATATTCTCGAGGGTTCTAAATCGATGCTCCATTTTAATTTTCTCTTTAGATCTCGACGAGGGAAACGAGTCTTTGGGTTATCGAATTATGTTTATCACAAGGCACGGTCAATTTGTTGTTTTGTCTGACCGTAACCCGATCTTTCGTTTAATCTTCAAAGAGCTCGAAATCTCCAATTGATGATATTTTCTGCAGTATCTCGGATTCGTTTTCGCAAGATATTCTAGGTTCAGAAACTTCTGCTGTGTTTTTGTTTGTGCCTCTGCCTGCGGTATCGATGCTGGAATCGTTCCAGGAAATCTTGAATTCGAGGGAGAGTCGCTTCCAATGTGGGTTTCACATCGGGGAATGTAGGGATTATTCTTATTTAGAGGACGTAGGAATTATATTCTTCCAAAAATGTGGTACAATGGTGTGATATAGCCTCTACATTATATGCTTTATTATTATTGAATTATGAAATCTTGGGTTGGTTTTAGGGGGATATCGAATATGAAATATTTTAATTAACCCTTTGACTATGTCAGAAGGCGCCGTAATTGCCATAAGTGCCATAATATGCCATTTTAAAACGCACCAGTCGTACCATACGGTAGGGATCCATTTGCGATGTACACTGAGAACGGTGAAATTTTTCGTTGGGTGTGCATGTCTGAGAAATTATTGTATATTTAAATAATAATCGAAACACTACATTCTACTATATTAAAACAATATTGTTTATTTCTTTGTATTCTGCATTAAATGGTTACTGTACATACTTAAAATTTAGCAGTAAATCAAACTTTTGAGCGCCTCTAGGTGTCCACAGTAGTCAAGGAGTTGAGATTATTAGCTGGATAACAAGTCATTCAGTTTCTGCGTTGTATTTCTGCATTTTTAGCAATCGTAATACCCAATTTCGAATTATTTCGTTCATAGTAGAATTATAGGTTGTAACATTGAACACAAGATGCAAGAATTCAAAGTTCAAATATTGTTCTTTAATTCTTCGTTATTATCACACATCAGAGACAGTTGATGGCAAGTTTCATAACTTACCTGGAATTGACACTAAGAGGAGGTAAAGGTCTATTGCATGGATCCTCGAGATCGCATTGGCTACGAAGAAAGACTTCTAGAAGGCCCATGAACAGCATGAAAGACGAACCTCCGCATGTCGACGCCAAGGTTGGTCCGGTTGAAGGGGTTAATGGACAGTTGCAGCTCATCTGTAACAACAATCGGGTCTTTAACGATAAGCTAAAATAAACTGGAATAATAAGAAAGATCTTTCGATAAACTTTGTTATTCTGCCTTGTGTTCCCACGCGTCGCGAGTGTATCGAAGTTATTTCCTTCTTATGAACGCGTGGGCTGCTCTAGACGTTTTACGGTCTAGAGCTGTTATTGTTGTTTGGTAGCCCGAATGTTAATCTGCTTCTATCTTACTCCTTTCTCGGAGTCGCGATTCTAACTGACGGTTGATATGTGATAGTTTGCGAGTTCGAGTGTTTGAAAGTTGTGGTTTTACTGACTGTTAAGCCTTGGAATGTCGTGCCGGTATTTTGTTCGGCCCTTTGTCTAGAACAGACCCAGAAGACCGTTAGGGTCTTCTAGCAGCCAGATTCTAATTGATAGGTAACGGGTCCTTCAGAAAGGATCACGAATGTGCGGGTGGCCCACCAACAACCCCCTTTAAGGGAGAGGCTTCCTCCACCGGCAGACCTGGTCGCGGAAGACGGTCCTCCCTTCTTTGGGGGCATCTGATTCGCGGACCGAGGGCCCACCCTCGGTCCTGTCAACCACCAATGGGAAAACCGATTTCCCTTTGGAAACCATGGGCTCCGAAAGATCGTGCATCGCACAAGTTAGTTAGGTCAGTACCAGTCAGTCAGCAAATAACATTCGAAGAGTTCAGAAGAGTTAACCGGAACTATTACAAAATATACAGTCCACTAAAAACACAACGTTCCTTAGGAAATTTGGTTCGTCATTAACCGTCGCCAATTGCGGACGACCTATTGACGATATACATTTTGCTGTTGACGATATACACTGACTGACCCTTTTCCGCTAGTCAGTTCTTCGCCTTGGCATGTCGAGGATGCGCGCTGATCGGTTGTTTAGAAAAATGTTAATTTCCCAATCAGCGGCATCCTAATTGTCGTGATCACCCCTTCCATGCGCCCTTGGCGCGCCTTCTCCTGCAAGGGTGGGATGACACTCGAGCGGGCGTGAGGTCATGGGTTTTTCCCAAGGGTTACGGTGTTCGTCCTTTGGCTATTGAACGTAGGCGAAATGAAGATTTGAAAGAATATTAGTTTCATTGCTTCCCCAATATACCTAGAGTCCAACTCTAAAATAGTCTGACTTTCCGATCGTGTTATAAACCTTAGAAATACCGACCTCACGGCTCATTTAGCGATGCCAAGGCGGGATACTCCATATGTACCGCGTAACATGCCTGGTATTATGTCATTTTTGTGTATAATACTCGAAAATGACTATTTTCTTCGTCACTGAAATTTAATGAACAGGATCTTCAAATTAAATTAAATTTACACCTGTATCGCTTTCTTTAATTTTTGTCGAGGAACAGAGAGTAGATTCTCTGTTAATTTTGCTTCGAGAAGAAGAAGACTGCGATGTCTGCCAACCGGAAGTATTGATTAATTAAGATGGAGTCTTCCGCGAGATTTCACCGTGAACAAACACGTCCATGCTATAGAATTTATCGTCCTAGATAAATTAGCTAATTGCAGAAATATTAATTAGTTAGCTTTATCCTTAATAATTTCACAGTTCAGTGAATAATTAATACAAATAATTTCTTCCAATTTAAATCACTTTATTACTTTATTGCTAAATTACTTAATACTGGTATTAAGGAATTTATTAATAATGAAATTAATTAAGCAATCCGTTAATTAATTACTTAATACTGGTTTTAAGGAATTTATTAATAATAACAAAATTAATTACGTAATCTGGTAATCAATTACTTGATTACACCGGTAATTTCCTTTTTATTCTATTTTTTCTCTATTTCTTCATCGGTGGATAAATTACACGTGTTCTTCGCTAATCGTTAGCACAGAAAACGGGATATCGATAATTACTAGAGTCGCGTAAAGCAAGCCGAGACTTGAGGAATGAAAATATCCGCGGTCATCGGAGATGTAATTAGACGGTGATTTAATTATCCGTAAATTGATAAAAAAAAAAAAGGCGTCGCTTCTAAGCACTTATTGGAATCGTGAGACAGCGGGTTTTACGATCACCCGAGCGAAGTTGCACTTTTGTCGACTCAAAGGGTGAAGGAATAAGGAAGCCCAGCGGGCAGCCATACTTTCTACCTCGATCCTTTGTTCTCGACCCTTGTTTCCGATAAAAATTCATTATAAAAAAGTGAAATTTCATCGCAACAACGGTGACAGCCTGCTGGTCACCTGGCACTTTCTAATTTCATCTCTTTTTTGCGCGATTATCAGTCCACTTCGAAGTTAATTAAAAATTTCCGCTCTGAAATGTCAATCTAGAATTTAACTGGAACCATTGACGAATATAATAGGTGCATAGATTAATTTTCTTTTTATATCAAAAATGTTAATTCCTGTTAGCTTTGGGCAGTGGTCGAAGAAAAGAATACACTTTGATACGTTCTATTTAGACATATTTAACAGTAATGAGATAGTTCTTTATACGTACACTTTCGCAACTTTCTGTGTAGTTAAGTTAACCCTTTGCACTCGAGAAGTGAGCTTCAGTCACCATTTCATAAAATTTGGAAGATCGATATTAATTGATATATCAAATTTAATGTAATGTAACAGTGTGCGAGGTATCGAAATCAAATAATTCTACAATTCTATTATTATACAATTCTTTATTTACTGCTCAAAAGGTATCGTCAGTTTTTTAATAGAGAATCTTTGAATTTCTATTCTTCTCTAGCCAAAAAGTCGTCGAGTGCAAAGTGTTAATAATTTATACCGAAAAACCGGTTGGTCATATTCGGTAAACCCTTAAACCGTGTTTACATGTAATTTACCTAGGTGTCGTTAATGTTCTATATCGTATTAACAAAAAACACTAATTTAAATAAAAAAAAAGAAATAAAATACAGGTAATTCGCAGGTATCTACTACCCTCGTCGCACCCCATCTACCAATGAAAAATTTAGAGATCATAGGAAATTTAAGAAAATTCAAAATTTACAGTAGTATTTTAATAAAATATGTAAAATTGTCCACTAATTTGTATATAAGTTTTATTCGTTTTTATTTCATAGAACGTAGCGCGATGAATGGTTTAAGTAGATTATTAGGAAGAAAATTATTTCGATAGGTAATTTTCTGTTATAAACAACGGCAGCCGGGATACGTGTTGATGTGCTGTGATATCAGTGTCGAGATTGTTCAATTCCAACGGAAATTGGATTCATTCCGTGTATCGCGGGGAAATTCATCAGTATCGAGTTTCGAGAACACTAGACGAATTCGCAATCATCGATATGAATAAATGCAAAAACTGCAGTATCGGTCGCATCATTCGTTGCAGAACTTTATCGGGGTTGTTGTTTCGTACTGATTTTCTCTCTGCAACGTGGCTCGATAATTCTGTATATGCCGTAATAGCTTCGTTTATTCGTGATCGACAACCCGAGAGACGCGTGTATGCTGGTTCTATCAAATTTCAGTTTCCTACTTCGTTAGAGATGAGAAACGTGTTTATGAACTGCCATTTTATTTCTATTATTCACCTTTCATTTATCTGGGCTTTATCAATGCTCAGAGAATTAACCTGGATCCTTTATCCTCTTTATTAATGAATTTAAGAAATTGAATAGATTATAGATCATAGATTCGTCTAAATATATTTCTCTCTTTCCTTTTCTAGAGAAATTAGATTTAGGTAAATTTAAGATTAAACAGATTTAAGTCGATTCTCAAGGAAGCTAGGTAAATTTAAGTCAATTTTTAAGGAACTTAGATAAATTTAAATACCATTTTTCCTTTTTTGAAAATCGAAATTTAGATGAACTTACAAGGAGAGTGCAAGTCCTTCGGGTGATTGATTTAGTTGAAACTTTGCAGGTTTGTAGATTTAGTCATCCAGTCCAAGAAAGTGTACCATTATAAGGGCAATTACTTGATAGTTTTCGAGATATTTATGATTAAAGTTTTATTATTCTTAACTAGAGTTTTTCCGAATAGTTGTCGATATTTATTAAGTGGCGTTGTGACCTAACGGTACCTGATAAATATTCGAAGTAAATCTATATAATTAAGGCAATAATAAAATTCTAATCATAAATATCTCGAAAATTATTGAGTAGTTGCTTTATAACGATACATTTTCTTGAACTGGATGAATAAATCTACAAATCTGCAAAATTTCACCTAAATCAATGACCCAAAGGACTTGCAATCTTCTTGTTAGACTTAAAAAGAGTATTTAGATTTAAATAAAATGTGAAAATTTGTTAAAATTTACCCCTATTACAGTGTCGTTAGTTTTTAAATCTATACTCTTCGTTCATAACGAATATATATAAACATACATTTCATTATGAAAGTCTGAATTTTCAAATCTAGTCTTGAATTTTTCTAATTTCATATCTGCTCCTCTGCTTTCGATCGCTATTCAACCCCCACTCGCCATTGGCAATTTATCCAAATCGAAAACCCCTTCACGACCGTTTCCCTTAACACCTCTTCAATCGTTCAAATCCTTCAAGCCCTTCGAACCACCATCTGCGCCCCGACCAATTACCCCCGATTAAACAATTTACGACGTTTCGACGAGAAGGAAAGCGACACTGGAGTCTGGTCACGTAGCGATCTCAATCGATGCAGCGAATCTGCGACGAGGATGTCGATTCTTCTTCATCGTATTCTATTCGTAACCCTCTATAACCGAATTTTCCTTCGCTCGCGAGGGAAGAAATTTCGTTTTGTTACTCTCCATCTGACAGAAGTGGAAACAGATAATCGTTACAGTAGGCTATTCGTTCGTTAACAGTGGAAGGTTGGTCTCCACTGTGGCAAAATGGTCTCACAGTAAACATGTAAAATGTCATATAAAAGATACGGATAAATAGGTATCAAATTTCACTTCATAATTCTAGGGAATATTTACGAGATCGTTTGCATTGAATTATTTCGAAAGAATTTTATGGATAATAAAATTATTTTTAACTAAATATCACAGGTAGCACGGTTCGTTGA